TTGGTCATTTAGCAGACACTCTTGTCCAGAGCGATTTACAGTCAGTGCATTAAACTAAAGTTCATCAAATAAAAACATATCACAGTAATAGCAAGTAAAAAGTTACTGAGAATGTTGTTTTAGTTAAGGATACATTGGTCTTCAAGGTATTTTGTATTCGTAACAAGGTACCTTTTGATGTATCTTTGCAAAGTACGTTACTGTAATATTCACAGCAACTTGCCACTAGCGTCCTGTAAGTTTCTGTAATATCCGAGCAACTGTACAGTACAATACTGTAAAATTAGCCTACTATACTGTAAGAAAGTAAATGCTACTGTAATCGTAATATTGGTATTTTACTGTAATTACATGGGATTGGTGCAAACAGGTTGGCTGCTAGGCATTTGTATAGTACAGAATATTTATCAATATTTGGTGTTATTTCGCTTGCAAAGACGTCCAAACTGACTGTGATTACAGCGCAAAGCAGACCAAAGGGACTTGGCAATAATTAAACCAGTAAAGGTTTAAGACTTGCTGCCACTCTGATCTGTCCCCAATACACATTACATTTTTAGGGAACTACTACCACATATCAGTTCAATTGCTACAGCATTCTCACTAACGGATGCACCAAATATAGCCCCTTACAAGTCTGGCCTCTAAATATGTTGAGCCAGCGATTCTTTCCCTCCCACTTCATTTTTCATAAAATTCACCATAATTTAAAGAATGCTGCTATAAATATACAACACTGCAATACAGTACTTTATGGTTAAAGCTGCAATATGTAACTTTTTGGGTGATCTGACCAAATTCAAATAGAAATGTGAGTTATAGATATGTAATTCTCATTAAAAGCAAGTCTAAGAAGTGGTAGATCTGTTCTATGTGCGCTATTTCTATGCTTCCCGTTCTTAAGTTACTTTCGGTTTTGTACACCAGCTTCAAACAGCTGAAAATACAACATTTTTGGTTATTGAAAATATATTTCACAGCGGTTTAGATGGTACAATGATTCTCTACACTATACTTGTTTTGTCACATAAACTGAAATTAGGCGAACTAGTCGAATTTTAGCAACCGGGAAATGGCGGAGCGATTTCTGCATATTGCACAATTGAGCCCCCATAATGCATTGCTCTTTACATTATAATATAATAATAATAATATGCCATTTAGCAGACGCTTTTATCCAAAGCGATTTACAGTCATGCGTGCATACTTACATTACTGTCCTGTAATATATAATCATAGTGATATTGTTCCCTGATCACTTTTGCATTTGAGAGACACATTTATCAGAGTCCCCCATCTATGGTGTTAAGTTCTATTTCACACAGGTAAGGTAACAAAACGGTGTTCCACAGGGGAGTTAACATAACTGCAACATAACTATATAATGGAATACATGGATTTATAAGGAGAAAATGACAGATCCATGTAAAATACCAAAAATAATCAAATACGCAATACACTTCCATGCGTAAAATATGGTTCACATTTCACTTCAGTAATATTACTGCAGCCTAGACCAAAAATATCACTGCTATCATACATGTAGGGCCTATCACTAAGGACCAAATTACCAAACAAAGACAGCCACTCTCTCATTGTCCAACTATAGAGAATGATGCGACTGGCGGAGAAAGGCCAAGTCATTTCACAACGCAGTTGAACTCCACACAACAGGCACTTAATCTCATCCAGATGTGCAACACACAACCCAACGCACAAACAAACAAGCACGCACGCACACATATACAAAAAACTGTGAATTCATCGAAATCATAGCTTAGCTATCACTTAAAACTTCTCAAAACTCTATTTTAAGATTAACAGAACTGTGCATAACACGTACTGTACCTTTCATGGCGTTATATAAATCTGTTAGGAGTGTAGAAGAGATGAGAGTCTCTATGTCACTTTTTGCGCATCTCAAAGTTCAGTCCAACCGGGCAGGTTTGAATCAGTTGTAGGAGAACAGAAAACTAAACGTGTAAATAAAAAAGTTCAGCTCCTCCAACTGCAAAATGTAAGGATTGCGCACGAACCGCTCCGTTAGGCTATATGTTCATCTCGAACATCCCGTTAGAACATAATTGTTCCGTTATTTGCATACATAGTTTAATAAAATGTGCAGCGTGCGTGGGAGAGAAAGTTAAAAGTTCATGTATTCGTAATATTTTGTGTAGCTCTGTAAAATGCACCAGTGGCTATAGTGTTAGGTTGTTGATGTCTTCTTTCCAGTGCGCTGCGCCGGTCACAATCACAAACTCACAAAAATGTCAAAGCCAAAGGAAGTCCCGCATCTGCAGCCCCGTTCTAACAGCAAACCACGTGTGTTCTACATCTGTCGGATTCCCCCCCTGTCGGATTCCCCCCCTCCACACTCCTCGCACTCCTTAAAGGGGAAAAGGTGAGGATGCCTTTCAGCGCGAACTCTGGGACCCTTGTGGAGCTGCTAGCAGGAGATGAGATTAGATTACTGGTTTGATGGCGATCGCGTCCTCTGGGTAAAAAAATCTGGTACACATTAAAGACCATTTCAAAGGGGTTGGGTAGGGGGGCTCAACCAACATCACTGGACCAGCCTGGGACTTTAGACAGTGCACTACATAATTTTTTGGTGCATTCTTTCTCACTTCCAAGTAGGATTTATAGGATATTAGACAAAACAGTTGGAATGTTCAATATCCATCCATCAGCTCTTTTATAAAGTTGTATGATGTTTCCACTACCACCAATAACTATTATCACCCTTGAGAGAAGTTACTACCATCACAGCTGGGAATGTTGCTGGGAATGCCAGACCATTTCATTCAGCCTAATGGGAACCCAAACACAGACCTTACCCTCTTTGGTTTGGTTTGTTGCCCCTGAAATCTCATTGCCCTGCAGATGCAGTCCACTGATCAAATACACAGGGTATTCTCAGGCTAATTAGGACATCAAGGCAATTAGTATGACCCTCTTTTATCTTATCTAAAGCTGCATGTTTTACTGAGTGTCAATGGGATACTAGTACACACAGCATTTCTGTTTTGTCTAAAATGTCCCCAAATAATATAGATAGTTACCTACGTTTGGCGCTTAAGTCCACATTGAACAAAGCATTAAGTGTGTATGTGTGTGTGTGTGTGTGCTTACATTTGTGTGTGTGTGTGTGTGTGTTTGCAGCACACTCCCTTGGTGTTCACACTCAAGCTGATCCTCTGGCATGCGTTCAGTCACAATCTGATTCTACAAACAGATCGATTTCAGGGAAAAACTGAAAAATCCCCCAAGCTTTAAAGAGCAGCCAACAGATCACCTCCTAAAGCTTCCGGTGCATCCCAAATGGCACCAAATCCCGTTTGACAAGGGTACTATATAGGGAATATGGTGCCATTTGAGACTCAATCTTCTTCTTTGTGGATTAGAGCCCATAACCAAGCATAACCCAGGCTCAGTGTTAAGGGCTTGGGTTATGACACAGTCCGGAGGGTATCGGGTTCCAGACCAGTCTGAAATAATTTGAGGGGTCATCCAGTGTTTTCCGTAGGGCTGCAATTTTTTTTACTTTTTTTACTGTCAGCCATAATTGGAGCAGCAGGTTGGTATTAGGGCCCAGGTAGAGATCAGGGCTGGGCTGATAGAAAGCAGCTGAGTGACAGGTAGTCTATATACCAGACTCCTGCTGGGCCTCATTTAGATGTTGGGATCTCATTTGCTGTGTCAGGGCTCTTAGCAGTACAGAGGGATCATATTAACTAGGCTGGAGATAAAGTGCCTTCAGAAAGGATTCACACCCCTTGACTTTTTCCACATTTTGTTGTCTCACAGCCTGAATTTAAAATTGCTTAAAATGAGATTTTGTGTCACTGGCCTACACACAATATTCCATAATGTCAAAGTGGAATTATGTTTTTAGAAATGTTTTACAAATTAATTTAAATTGAAAAACTGAAATGTCTTGAGTCAATAAGTATTCAACCCCTTTGCCCAAATAAGTTCAGGAGTAAAAATGTGCTTAAGAAGTCACATAATAAGTTGCATGGACTCTGTGTACAATAATAATGTTTAACATGATTGTTTTATGACTACCTCATCTCTGTACCCCACACATACAATTATCTGTAAGGTCCCGCAGTTGAGCAGTGAATTTCAAACACAGATTCAACCACAAAGACCAGGGAGGTTTTCCAATGCCTCGGAAAGAAGGGCACCTATTGGTAAAAAAAGCAGACATTGAATATCCCTTTGAGCATGGTGAAGTTATTAATTACACTTTGGATGGTGTATCAATACACCAAGTTACTACAAAGATTCCAAAACATGCATCATGTTTGCAATAAGGCACTAAGGTAAAACTGTAAACAATGTGGCAATTTTTTTAACTTTATGTTTTGAATACAAAGTGTTATGTTTGGGGCAAATCCAACACAACATATCACTGATTGCCACTCTTCATATTTTCAAGGATGCTGGTGGCTGCATCATGTTATGGGTATGCTTGTCATCAGCAAGGGTGTTTTTTAGGATAAAAAGAAACGGAATAGAGCTAAGCACAGGCAAAATCCTAGAGGAAAACCTGGTTCAGTCTGCTTCCAACAGACACTGAGAGACAAATTCACCTTTCAGCAGGACAATAACCTAAAACACAAGGCCAAATATACACAGGAATTGCTTACCAAGATGACATTGAATGTTCCTGAGTAGCCTAGATACAGTTTTGACTTAAATTGCCTTGAAAATCTATGGCAAGACTTGAAAATTGCTGTCTAGCAATGATCAACAACCAACTTGACACAGCTTGAAGAATTTTGTGCAAATATTAGTCACATTTCTTCATTAAGTCTATCAAGGAACGTGCACTAAGGCCCTGGACCAGAGCTAGATATGTATATGATCAGGATGATGTAAACATGGTCAGAAAGTGAAAAGAAAACAACATTCTCACAGACCAATTCACAAAGAAACACACACACACAGAGCACAGTCATCGTTCAATCATGCAAAAGCGAAAACGGTGTTGCATGCATGGTGGATATTATGGGGCCAAGGGGAAAGGAGCTCTTCATGCCATGGGGTTCGGCTTAGAGTTTGGGTCTTTCTGGCATGGAGCCACCGTGAGGCCCTGTGATGTGTGTGTGTGTTGGCCATGGCAGACAGATTAGATTAAGAGTAGAGCCAACATTCAGACTTCGGTGCCAATGTCTGCCATGGGTCTGTCTCTCTCTCTGCGGTGTGAATATGGGGGATTCATGGAGATAGTTTCAATGAGACACTTAGCTTGTGGAGAAAGGGCTTTGAAGTCCTATGGAAAAGATAAGCAGATTGTTGTTGTTTATTTGTTATGTATGCACTGAAACTGTAATCACTGGTCAGCTGTGCAGGTGAGGTGCGGATGATGGCAGGCTTAATGGTCATATAAATAGAACAATCCTTGGGTAATGCGAACACACTCTCGAATGTACGCCACTACCAAGTCTGCTGCTTCTGTTTTGGTGGCTGATGTTCTCTCATCTCTCAAGGTAAACGTAAGTTTGTGCCATTCATCCTATAGCATGTTCCCATCACATGTTGTAGCTTTGCTCTCTGATTGGTTTCTGGTATGTATTAAGTAAGTAATTAAGCATGTATGTAGGCTACTATGAATGCTGGTATGTAGGATATCTGTTTCTATTGGCAACAACTGATGACTGATATTGTGGTATGAGAAAGGTGGTGTGTTTTGTAATGTGTTTTGCTGTTGCAGTCTACTTTTCTATGGATTATATTTTGCTCATACTGAAATAGAGATTATTGTCAGTAGTACGAAAAATCTTTCATGTAGCATTGAGTTGCTATCAGGGTTGGAGTCAATTCTATTTTAATTCCAGTCAATTCAGAAAGTAAACCAAATTCCAATTCCAAATGTTCCTTATTGAAGAGCATAGAAGAGAATTGGAATGTCAGTTTACTTCCTGAATTGATTGGAATTGAAACAGAATTGACCCCAACCCTGGTTGCTATTTAGTTTACCATGTAGGGTGCCAGCCACTATTCAGTTACTTAATTTTCATTTTAGTGGAGAGAGACAGATTATTTATTTTGTGAAGTTGAACATATTTTTTAAAAATTATAACCCTTCCCTAACATTTGAACAATAAGCATAAATAGTCTATCTACCTATTGATTGTGCCCATCAGTTGCCCTTTATGACTTAGAAATCCTTGGCTATTTTCATGATGCCTTTGAATGCTTAAGATAATTGCACCCCCTTGTGGCAGATGACAGAATCACCACGTCACGTCAGGTGTCTATTAAAATCCTCTTATCTGTGAAGATCAGACAAGATCAAGCATTCTAGAGGAATCAATGACTTCCAGGAAGGTTACATAAGAAGTCATCACTCTAAAGCCCAATTCAAAGTCCACAGCCATAGAGCCACGATAATCAGGTGGCCCATTGTGACATACCTACAGGCCAGTCAAGAGAGCACATTTTTCTGCATTGATCTTATTTCATGTAATAATATTTAACCAATTGGTTGTGTTTCAGAGCTGCACCTGTAAGAGTAAGCCAGTGAAGATGAGAGCACTGCTGATTCTCACCCTCTACGTGTCATCTCTTGGGGTCCTGCATTGTGGCCCCGACCCCTCTCCCACAGAACTGAGTGAGGATGTTCTCCAGGGTGAGACCTCTTTTGGAATGTACTATACCACATGCAACTTTCATCACCTTTATCTAACATATGACATTTAGCAAACCCTTTTATCCAAAGTGACTTACAATAGTGCATGCAAAACATTTCATATTCCTCGAACCCACAACCCTGGCATTGCAAGGAACATACTTTACCAACTGAGCCACACAGGACTAGCTGTGTCACATAATGGCAATAAAATAAAATAAAATAGTATTTGTCAATGCTCTGAATACAACAGGTGTACCGTGAAATGGTTACTTACAAGCCCTTAACCAACAATGCAGTTCAAGAAATAGAGTTAAGAAAATATTTACTAAATAAACTAAAGTAAAAAATAATCTCGATGGTGCAGCTGTAGAACTTTTTGAAGATCTGGGGACCCATGCCAAATCTTCTGAGGGGGAAAAGGCGTTGTCGTTCCCTCTTCACGACTTTCTTGGTGTGTTTGGACCATGATAGTTTGTTGGTGATGTGGACACCAAGGAACTTGAAACTCTCGACCCGCTCAACTACAGCCCCGTCAATGTGAATGGGGGCATATTCGGCCCTCCTTTTCCTATAGTCCACGATCATCTCCTTTGTCTTGCACACGTTGAGGGAGAGGTTGTTGTCCTGGCAGGTTGCTGACCTCCTCCCTATAGGCTGACTCATCGTTGTCTGTGATCAGGCCTCCCACCGTTGTGTCATCAGAAAACTTAATGATGGTGTTGGAGTCGTGCTTGGCCACGCAGTCGTGGGTGAACAGGGAGTACAGGAGGGGACTAAGCACGCACCCCTGAGGGGCCCCCGAGTTGAGGATCAGCGTGGCAGATGTGTTGTTGCCTACCCTTACCACCTGGGGGCGGCCCGTCAGGAAGTCCAGGATCCAGTTGCAGAGGTTGGTGTTTAGTCCCAGGGTCCTTAGCTTAGTGATGAGCTTTGTGGGAACAATGGTATTGAACTATGAGCTGTAGTCAATGAACAGCATTCTCACATAGGTGTTCCTTTTGTCCAGGTGGGAAAGGGCAGTGTGGAGTGCGATTGAGATTGCGTCATCTGTGGATCTGTTGGGACGGTATGCGAATTGTAGTGGGTCTAGGGTTTCCATGAAGATGGTGTTGATGTGAGCCATGACCTGCTTTTCAAAGCACTTCATGGCTACGTGAGTGCTACGGGGTGGTAGTCATTTAGGCAGGTTACCTTCGCTTTCTTGGGCGCAGGGACTATGGTGGTCTGCTTGAAACATGTAGGTATTACAGCCTCGGTCAGGGAGAGGTTGAAAATGTCAGTGAAGACACTTGACAGTTGGTCCGCTCATATTCTGAGTACATGTCCTGGTAATCCGTCTGGCCTATATCCAGATGTTTTCTCTGTTGATTCTGGGTCCAGGGTTGTCGAGGGATGGTGAGCGTTATGTTGACGAGGAGATGAAGAGAGCCTTGTTTGGGGTGAAGCGGATGAAGGAGGTGATGGAGAAGAACCAAGAGAAGCATGAACATCTCATGAAGACCCTCAAAGAAAGTAGCAACAAGAGGAAGGTAAGCCATTTTACAGACAAAGCATTGCACATAAAATCATCATACTGTAACATATACAGTGCATTCGGAAAGTATTCAGACCCCTTGACTTTTTCCACATTTTGTTACGTTACAACCTTATTCTAAAATTGATTAAATTGTTTTTTCCCCTCATCAATCTACACACAATACCCCATAATGACAAAGCAAAAGCAGGTTTTTAGATTTTTTTTGCTAAAATTAAAAATAGAAATAGCACATTTACATAAGTATTCAGACGCTTTACTCAGTAGTTTGTTGAAGCACCTTTGGCAGTGATAACATCCTCGAGTCTTCTTGGGTATGACGATACAAGCTTGGCACACCTGTATTTGGGGAGTTTCTACCATTCTTCTCTGCAGATCCTCTCAAGCTCTGTCAGCTTGGATGGGAAGCATCGCTGCACAGCTATTTTCAAGTCTCTCCAGAGATGTTCGATCAGGTTCAAGTCCAGGCTCTGGCTGGGCCACTAAAGGACATTCAGAGACTTGTCCCGAAGCCACTCCTGTGTTGTCTTGGCTGTGTGCTTAGGGTCGTTGTCCTGTTGGAAGGTGAACCTTCACCCCAGTCTGAGGTCCTAAGCGCTCTGGAGCAGGTTTTCATCAAGGATCTCTCTGTACTTTGCTCTGTTCATCTTTCCCTCGATCCTGACTAGTCTCCCAGTCCCTGCCGCTGAAAAACATCCCCACAACATGATGCTGCCACCACCATGCTTCACCGTAGGGATGGTGCCAGGTTTCCTACAGACGTGACGCTTGGCATTCAGGCCAAATAATTCAATCTTGGTTTCATCAGACCAGAGAATCTTGTTTCTCATGGTCTGAGAGTCTTTAGGTGCCTTTTGGCAAACTCCAAGCGGGCTTTCATGTGCTTTTACTGATGAGTGGCTTCCGTCTGGCCACTCTACCATAAAGGCCTGATTGGTGGAGTGCTGCAGAGATGGTTGTCCTTCTGGAAGGTTATCCCATATCCACAGAGGAACTCTGGAGCTCTGTCAGAGTGACCATTGGGTTCTTGGTCACCTCCCTGACTAAGGCCCTTCTCCCCCAATTGCTCAGTTTGGCCGGGCGGCCAGCTCTAGGAAGAGTCTTGGTGGTTCCAAACTTCTTCCAATTAAGAATGATGGAGGCCACTGTGTTCTTGGGGACCTTCAATGCTGCAGATCTGACTTAGCAGACAGTGAGTTGTGGATGTGGACCTAAGGAGGGCGTAGAGTACAATTTTGAAAAACCAGTTTTTCCTTTGTCATTATGGGGTATTGTGTGTAGATTGATGAGGGCAAAAAACTATTTCATCCAATTTTAGAATAAGGCTGTAATGTAACAAAATGTGGAAAAAGTATTTCCAAATGCACTGTATAAGGTACCACGATAATAACAAATCACAGATTATTATCTGCATATGATTTAGGCAGTGAAAGATAGCACTTGGTTGAACACACCACAGCATTTAAGGCACGAGCAAATTTGAGTTAATGTAACTCTATTAAGCACATGTACAAATATGTAAGTTATGCTCTTCCCCAAAGATAAGAATGTCCTCCTAATGAATAAATAACGTCATATCTGTATATATCATCAATAAAATAAACCCCACTGTAAGAAATTAATCCACAGTGAAAGATTTGAGTTCAATACAGCATTAATCATCCTGAATCTAATGGCCTGCGTCCCAAATGGCACCCTATTCCCTATATATTGCATAGGGATTAGGGTACCATTTGGGATGCAGTCAGGCTGTATGCTTCGCACACCAACACCCGCTCACCGTCTTCTACATACACAGACACGCATCACATATTTTCTGCCTCATAGAAAAAGGCTCATATAGAGACCACAAAGCAGACAGTGAGTTGGGGATGTGGACCTCAGGAGGGCGTAGAGTACAGCCCAGTCAGGATTAATGGGCTGACTGTAGATTTATGTCTGTGTTCTGCATTCGTTCAGAAGGGAGGGTACTGTGAGCCAGGGCCTAGGAGGACAGCTGAGCTGAAGGGGCCCCAAAACCACATCCTCCTCTTTCTCTCCTCGTTGACCACACATTCACCCTACACACTGACGTAGATTAGTACAGAGGTAACCAGGAAGAAATGGAGAGGGTACAAGGACCATCTGGCATGGTTATATTAAAATGCAGCACAATAATTGTTCATAGTTATGATCATTTAAATGTGGTTCCATTAAAGTCAGTTCAGTTGATCTTGCCTGTTAATACCTCTAAAGAACACCCCAGTTTGTTATTGAATTTCCAATTTTGGCTGCATTTTAGTTTCCAATATGGTCTATTCCAGAGTGAAGTTTCCTCTAGGTACAGATCTAGGATCAGCTTCTCCTCTCCCAAGCCTAACCTTAACCATTAGTGGGGGAAATGCAAAACGGACCCGAGATCAGCATCTAAGGGCAACTTCACCTTACTCCTTATTTTCCCTAAGGGGGCAGTGCAACTGGCCACAGAGGCAGAGCTAAAGCTTCAGAAGGCGGAAGAGCAGTGCCGTGAATCGCTAAGGACATCATTTATGGAGTGTCGACCCTGCCTAGAAGACACCTGTAAGACGTTTTACACCTCCACCTGCCGAAGAGGCTTCTCCTCCTTCTCTTTCAAAGTAAGGCCTTTATCTCTGCCTTCAAGGCCCCTTACACATCCACGGCTGCATCGCCCCATGTCTTATCAAGTAAGCCCAAGATTGGTACAAATTCAGCTCCATTTAGGTATTTGGTTCTCTTCTGCTCACAGGTGGAGGAGTTCTTCAGGAAGTTATCCTCCCAACTGGAAACTCCAGACCAGGTCGTCAATCAGAACCGAGATAACCTGAACCAGACCCAGAACTCAGAGGATCCAGATCCAGATCTGGAGCTGGTGCGACTGAATGCCACCTTCAGTCAGATGCAAGGGAAAATTAGCTCCCTGCACAACCGGAGCACAGAGCTGGTCAACAAGATGCACCAAGAGTTTGGCCATGGCTTTTGGGTGGCCTTCACCACTAAGCTGAAGCCCAAGCCCCTCTCCCCCACACAGGAGTCCCCTAATGGGGGCTTCTTCATGGGCATGGGCCGCCTGGGCAGCATGGGCCTAGATGATGTGCTGGAGGAAGTGTATGACTTTGGCCGGGCGGTAGTGGAGGACTTCAGCGATGCGATGACAGACGTCTTGGACGAGATGCAGGAGGCTGTAGATGAGGAGTCTTGGCAGCAGAGAGGTATCCAATGATAATAGCCATTCGATACACATTCAGACTACTGGTAAATTTGACCGTTATCAGATTTGTCAGGAAATACAGTATCTATTTCATATACCATTATATAATGTTGAGATTTCTAGATCTAAATACTATAGTCAAAGATTGTATAGTATGAAGATGCCTAGAAACTGCTCCTCCAATAGATATCCCAGATCACGCTTGTAGGCAATGTCATGGCGACGTTGGTTAGCTAAGCTCATGCGCAGAAACACGTAATTGGGTCTAACGGTAATTCTCGCACCGAACTGCTCATGTGCAGGCCGTCAAATCAGAGGCACTCCTTCATCCCTTTCACGAAGTTGGAGTAATAACATGTTCAGCTACTTAAGACATTGACTCGAATCTAGGTTGTGCCTTTAGATTTAGAGAAAAATAACAACTAAGGAAACATTTCTCAATTCTCCCATTGACTTCCCAAACCCCAAACCCCTGTTTGGTCTGTCGAGTCTGCTTCGCGAAGCGTTCCCAGAAGTATTTCAATGTTGGGCCTCTGGGTTTAGAAACTCTGTGCTATCGTTATCACATTGTTGTGTCTCTCTAATCTGATACCTCTCTGATTATGTTGCCCTGTGTGCTGTGCCCCTTTCCAAAGACACAGAGTCATTCCCTAGCTGGAGCTGGGTCCCAGTCCCATTCCCAGACATGTATCTCTGCAGACAGCTCCGCAGGCAGGCAGCAGACTGCTGGCAGCTGCAGAGACTGTGTGAGTCCTGTCAGGACACTTTGGTGAAAGGTAAATATTGATGATCATTATGGAACTCTCATTTAATCAAAATGTGTCCTGTCCTAGTGGAACACAGGGTTCAAATTACACATTGTGCCCCTTGGCGATTCCCATGAAATGGTATTCTACAGTCTAGATTCTAGACTGTTATCTTAAGTGTTTGAACCATGCCTGTGTAACAGAGCTGGTCTCAATTTGCAAATCACTAGCTTTTCTAGTGTAATTAGCTAAGACAGGGACAGGTAAGGAAGCTATACTGTTAAGCAAGCACAGTGACGCCTGTTATAGGGGAGAATGGGGTAAGTTGAGCAAAAGGGATAAGTTGAACCACCGTTGTTTCGAGGAAACCATACACAAAATTAATAATTTGACCAAATATTTAGGAAGAGGTTGTCATTTCATGGAGTTTGTGAAGGAAGAAACCACATGGAAAAAGTGGTAGCAAGTTAGGTCCAAAAACTGATTTTCACCAAGTCTAATTACTTAATTGTGTTAGAGGTTTCATGATGCTTGTATCTAAACCAAAGTAGATAATTTAAAGATTGTTCTATAGATCAGTTGGGGTCTCTAGAAACTTAAACATGAGGTCCTAAACCTAGCATGAAACTGCATCCTTGTAACTGTGTGGGCTAATATAGTCAAAATGTTTGCCTTGGGGTAAGTTGAGTCAATGGCCATGGGGTAAGTTGAGCCAATGGCAAGTTGAGCAAATTGAAGTGTTTTCTTCCCAGGTGTAATGCAAGGCACTATTGCTGGGACATGAGGTAACAACAGGACATGGCCTAAGTTAAAAGTGTTTTTAAAAAGTGCAAAGTGTTTGCTAGGCGTTAAACCTGTGTTAAAAGCTGATTAAAATGATTAAAAGACAAAAAGGCTTTTTCTAAATTTTTTGCTATTTTTTTACATTGTAGAATAATAGTGAAGACATCAAAACTATGACATAACACATATTGAATCATGTAGTAACCAAAAAAGTGTTAAACAAATCAAAATATATTTTATATTTGAGATTCTTCAAATAGCCACCCTTTGCCTTGATGACAGCTTTGCCCACTCTTGGCATTCTCTCAACCAGCTTCATGAGGTAGTCACTTGGAATGCATTTCAATTAACAGGTGTGCCTTCTTAAAAGTTAATTTGTGGAATTTCTTTCCTTCTTAATGCGTTTGAGCCAATCAGTTGTGTTGTGACAAGGTAGGGGAGGTATACAGAAGATAGCCCTATTTGGTCAAAGACTGTCACGATCGTCTAAGGAGGAGGACCAATGCGCAGCGTTGAAGGTGAACATATTTATTTAGCGAATGATCACACGATCAAAACAACAGACGATAACGTGATGTCTACGGTTGAACACAAACCAAATAAGAACAAGAAACCACAAACACAAAGGGAAAGACAGACAGTTTAAATATGGCTCCCAATCAGAGACAACCAGCTGACACTCGTTGCCTCTGATTGGGAGTCACTCAGGCCAACATAGAAATACAAACTAGAACTCCCAACATAGCAATAGAATACATAGAATTACACACCCTGGCTCAACATAACAGTGTCCCCAGAGCCAGGGCGTGACAGGCGGACTCCGACCGCGCCAACTAAATACCACAGGGGAGGGACCGGGTGGGCACTCCGCCTTGGCGGCGGATCCGGCTCCGGGCCTGATCCCCACTCCCTCTCCAACCCCCCAAAGTACCCCTGGTCCGGTCTGGCCCCGCTGGCCGGAGCTGGACTGCACACTGATGGAGCGGATTGCTCTAGCTCCGGCGTAACGCATCTGACCGGTGCCGGACCAGGCACCAGTGGAACAGGCACGGGCCGTGCCGGACCGACGACGCACACCACTGGCTTGGTGTGGGGAGCAGGAGCGGGCCGGACAGGGCTGACGAAACGCACCACTGACTTGGTGCGGGGAGCAGGAACGGGCCGGACAGGGCTGACGAAACGCACCACTGACTTGGTGCGGGGAGCAGGAACAGGCCGGGCCGAGCTGGCGACACGCACCGTAGACTTGGTGCGGGGAGCAGGAACGGGCCGAGCCGGGCTGACGAAGCGCACCACTGACTTGGTGCGTGGAGCAGGAACGGGCCGAGCTGGGCTGACGAAACGCACCACTGACTTGGTGCGGGGAGCAGGAGCGGGCCGGACCGGGCTGACGAAGCGCACCACTGACTTGGTGCGGGGAGCAGGAACGGGCCGTGCCGGGCTGACGAAGCGCACCACTGACTTGGTGCGGGGAGCAGGAACGGGCCGTGCCGGGCTGACGAAGCGCACCACTGACTTGGTGCGAGTGGCAGGAACAGGCCGGACCGTACTGGGAACACACACCACTGGCCCTACGTGGGGATCAGGAACAGGCCGGACCGGACTGGCAACACACGCCAGTACCTCTCGCCGTGCCTCTACATCCACCATCCCCTCTTCGACCAGTGGCCCCCGTAACCTGGCGGCCTCCTCTGGCAACCCGCTGGGCCGCTCTATCGCGGCCTCCTGCTGCCCCGACGTCGTGAGCCCCCCCCTAAAAATTTTCTGGGAGTCTCTCTTCCCCGTGGGCCAGGCCTCTATATTTCTCGCCCAACTCTCGCTCTTCTGCTTCCAATCTCCGCCATTCAGCTCCTCATTCGGCTTGACCCAGTCGAAGCTCTTCCTCCACTGTTCCCAAGTCCACCCTCTCTGCTCCTCACTAGGCTGCTTGGTCCAGTTCTGGTGGTTTCTTCTGTCACGATCGTCTAAGGAGGAGGACCAATGCGCAGCGTTGAAGGTGAACATATTTATTTAGCGAATGATCACACGATCAAAACAACAGACGATAACGTGATGTCTACGGTTGAACACAAACCAAATAAGAACAAGAAACCACAAACACAAAGGGAAAGACAGACAGTTTAAATATGGCTCCCAATCAGAGACAACCAGCTGACACTCGTTGCCTCTGATTGGGAGTCACTCAGGCCAACATAGAAATACAAACTAGAACTCCCAACATAGCAATAGAATACATAGAATTACACACCCTGGCTCAACATAACAGTGACCCCAGAGCCAGGGCGTGACAAAGACAATGTAGAAAATAGTAAAAATAAAGAAAAACCCTTGAATGAGTAGGTGTGTCCAAACTTTTGACTGGTACAGTTTATGTAGACATCTTTGCTAGAAATAATATTATATTTCCCTTGACGTAGTGATGCTGAATGTAAAAAATGTCTCAATTTACCCCACTCTCCCCTATCTGTATCATGTTCCCCCAGAGTGTCCCAGTGTTAGGGAGCTGCACTCTGCGCTGGAGGAGACCTACCTGCTGCTCAACGCGTCTCGTCTGCAGTATGAGGAGATGCTGCAGGTGGTCCAGAAACACACGGATGACACACACACCTGGCTCAACAACATGGAGGCCAAGTATGGCTGGGTGACACAGCTCACCAATGGCACCCTGGGTCCTCAGAACATCTTTGGTGTGAGCGCGGTTAGTTCACAGTACACACGTAAATGTTTGTCCATATGTACCTCTGATGATGATGATGTTGTTGATGATGATTTCAGCCCTTTAGAAAAAAACTAATATTATTCTCATGATTACAGTGTTGTTATATGTTTTCAGGTGGCTCTACAGGTGAGGGATAACAGGTTTAAAGGTGACACCAGAGTGGTGTTGAACATCCTGGACTCTCCTTTATTAACCCTCTCCGTCCCAGCAGAGCTAGAGGTGCAGGACTCTGCCTTCATTCAGTATGTGGCCCAAGAGGCCCTTGCCCACTACAAACAGTCAAAGGTAAGTATAAAGCCCACAGCTAGGCAAAACGTACATGCCATGATTACAGTATCCAGACAATTCCTTATGATTTAAATGTTTCATACAGTATGCTATAGGCCCAAGCTAGTTATAAATGCCAAAGTAATGGGTTGTATCCTGCATTGTTTCTGATCCTTTCACAGATATGAAGTAATTTGAAGATTTTGCAAGCTGTGCTATTTATAAGCCTCAATTTGCCATCGTGTGTCTACCAGTTCCTTGGAATAGAGCATTATGTTTAAGGTTGTATGCAACATTTGGTCGAGCTATGAGCTATACTCTTTACGCTAAGTGATGGAATTAAAAAATAAATGTGACCATACAGGTTGCTTACTTTTAAATTTGACTGATTATTAAACTGTGATTGTGAACAATTCCATGGTTCATTTTTATTTTTGTTCATACATCATTCGTTTCTGATAAATAAAATGCACAAAGTTCTTTTTCCTAAAAAAAAAAGGATTTGAATGTATGAATTTCGCAGCAAATAGAGAGGCAGGGATTACATTTTGCGCGTTTTTTCCAATCTCCCATTGGTCCAGTTTTAAAACCAAGAAACGCTCTTGCCCTCCTCTTTTACTTGATTGGAGATATCTTCTATGTAGGCGTGTCTTCGAGAGCAACCAAACTTAAACCGGGAAATGTTAAGTTTGACGCAAGAGTAGAACAAAATTAACCAGTGCTGCCATTGCATCAATTGGGTCAGTATTTTTGTTAAACTAACCAACAAAATGCCTGCTACTTCTGACATACACACAGCGGCACCTTGTAACAACGAAGAGCCAAAGAAAGCAGATAGTCAGGTGGGACAAAGTTCGTTCTCTCTCTTTTGTGATGAACTCGGGTATCTGAATCAATGTGAATACATTTTGCAACACGGACATCGAAAGGGAGACCGAACAGGAACGGGGGTCATCTCTGTTTTCGGATCACAAGCGAGATACAGTCTCCGGGGTAAGTCAATTTAGCAAATGTTCAGTATGTGTTGGAAGTTGTGTGTTAAAACAAGTCAATGCACGATTAAAACAGACATGTAATTTTTCCGCCAAGCCGGGAATTGCATGCAACAAAAGCACTACCTAACTAAGTTCAACGTTACCTCCTGACCTGGCTTGGCATGGAACCTCTGTTCAAATGACTAGCTATTTTTCGTTGTTTATCATTCCAGATCAGTTTCCTTTGCTGACGACGAAAAGGGTTTTCTGGAAAGGAATTCTCGAAGAACTACTGTGGTTTATCAAAGTAAGAATGAAGCCTGTCCTCCGAAATAATGCACCAGTGACCACGTTTACATGCACACCAATATCCCGTTATTATTCGGAATACTCAAGTATTCTGTTTTTGAGTTGACGCATATAAACATCATATCCCCTTTACAATAACCCGGAAAAGGTTGTATCCCGGTTATTTGAAACCAGGATAAGATGCATAGGAAATGCTGATCTTAGACGGGATACTGTGGCATGTAAACATCTTATCCCGTTAACTGTTGTTTTTCGCGGTCTGTGTAGGATGTTGCGTATATCATGCAATCATCACACATCACCATAGGCTGCCAACACCCATGATTCAAACGTCAACGCACAACACCATAGACTGCACAACACCAATGATCCATGGGATTTGTCAACTATATAGTTAGATACATGCAGATTCTCTTCTCATAACGTGTTGCCCTAGAATAATAAATAAAGTAGTGCTCACCAAAATAATGTCATGCATCGATAGAATGAATGCATTCATCTAGTTAACACCGGTAAAGTTGTGTTTCGTTTAGGGGACCGGGAGAAAACGCAATAACTCCAAAACAGTGGAAAGATTGGACCTGTGCATAATGTCCAATTCCATCAGTTTGACCGGTTTTAAGGAAATGAAAAGCAGAGAAAATGATGAAACACGTTTCTGATAAGACTTCAGTTCGTCTGGGGCGCATATTTTATGTGGTTGAAATACTGTCTGCTTGCTTAAGTGTCAAAGATGACACTTTACATGACCTTTAGCATTTTCTCGAGATGCTGAAATAAATAAATCATATTTCTCCACTCCTGTTGCCGAGAAAAAATGAATATTTGTTGTATCTTTTTACTGCAAGAAATGCACAATTCTGCAGGAGTTAATATTGTATTACCCTACATGTGATAGGTTATAGGCCTACAATCAGTGTCCATACTTCAGTTACTATTCCATTTAACCCATATGAACTAAAATTAGGAATATTCTGTTTATTCACGGATATAGGGACACTCAAACGGGATATCAAATATTAACAGATATCACGGAATAAGATCTTAAGCGGGATATGAGTTACTATCCGGAATACTGAACGCATGTAAACGTGGTCACTGGTACAATGCTTTGAATTGTATGTGCCTGCCAGTGCCTATACACACTTGCATACTATTTCCACTAGATGGCGCGCCATACCAATATATTGGGCAGAGAAGTTGACAGGTCTTGTTCTGTGTGTTTGCTGTAGGGCTCAACAAATGCCAAGGAGCTCTCAGAGAAAGGGGTGAAGATCTGGGATGCAAATGGTTCTAGACAGTACCTGGACAAAATGGGGTTCACAGACCGGGAGGAGGGAGACTTGGGACCCGTGTATGGTTTCCAGTGGAGGCACTATGGTGCAGAATACAGCAATATGCACAAAGGTACATCACCCTGACACTGATATGGTGTTGTAGGATTATGTTGAGTGTTTCACTCCAACTAATTTAACTGTAGTGCTTAATTCTGTTGGATAATACTTCCCTTATAGATTACGCAGGACAAGGTGTGGACCAACTACAGAAAGTTATTGACACTATCAAGACTAATCCAGAAGACAGGAGAATCATCATGTGTGCATGGAACCCCAAAGGTATTTGACTAAAATATTCAATTCTGATTTCGTATAGGCCTAGGTATTACATTTGTAGTAATGATTTCACTGTGTATTCTACACTTAACAGTCAGTGTTGGTTTGTATCGCTCACACCTGCTCCTGTGTTGTTCCCAGACCTGCCCCACATGGCGCTGCCCCCCTGCCATGCCCTGTGCCAGTTCTATGTAATTGACGGGGAGCTGTCGTGCCAGCTGTACCAGCGCTCGGGGGACATGGGCTTGGGAGTGCCCTTCAACATCGCCAGCTACGCCCTCCTCACCTACATGATCGCCCACATCACAGGACTCAAGGTGGGGCAGACATTGGTTTAAACTCCCTACTCTCAACACCTCCCTTCCTTTGACTCAAAGAAAGGATGATATTTTAAGTGTAATAACCTTTGTAATAACAGGTGTAGTAAAATAAGGTATTTCTTGCCTTTTTTCCCTTTAGCCTGGTGACTTTGTGCACACTCTGGGAGATGCTCACATCTACAGTAACCATGTCGAACCCCTCAAAGTGCAGGTAGGTTCATGACTGATACAGCAACACGGGCAACTTTGACGTTGAGATATACACTGCGGCCAATTTTATGTGTGTGTGTGTGTGTATGTATGTATGTATACACAGTGGGGAGAACAAGTATTTGATACACTGCCGATTTTGTACGTTTGCCCACTGACAAATAAATAATCAGTCTATAATTTTAATGGTAGGTTTATTTGAAAAGTGAGAGACAGAATAACAACAAAAAAATCCAGAAAAACGCATGTCAAAAATGTTATAAATTAATTTGCATTTTAATGAGGGAAATAAGTATTTTACCCCCTCTCAATCAGAAAGATTTCTGGCTCCCAGGTGTCTTTTTATACAGGTAACAAGCTGAGATTAGGAGCACACTCTTAAAGGGAGTGCTCCTAATCTCAGCTTGTTACCTGTATAAAAGACACCTGTCCGCAGAAGCAATCAATCAATCAGATTCCAAACTCTCCACCATGGCCAAGACCAAAGAGCTCTCCAAGGATGTCAGGGACAAGATTGTAGACCTACACAAGGCTGGAATGGGCTACAAAACCATCGCCAAGCAGCTTGGTGAGAAGGTGACAACAGTTGGTGAGATTATTCGCAAATGGAAGAAACACAAAATAACTGTTAATCTCCCTCGGCCTGGGGCTCCATGCAAGATCTCACCTCGTGGAGATGCAATGATCATGAGAACGATGAGGAATCATCCCAGAACTACACGGGAGGATCTTGTCAATGATCTCAAGGCAGCTGGGACCATAGTCACCAAGAAAACAATTGGTAACACACTACGCCGTGAACGACTGAAATCCTGCAGCGCCCGCAAGGTCCCCCTGCTCAAGAAAGCACATACAGGCCCGTCTGAAGTTTGCCAATGAACATCTGAATGATTCAGAGGAGAACTGGGTGAAAGTGTTGTAGTCAGATGAGACCAAAATCGAGCTCTTTGGCATCAACTCAACTCGCCGTGTTTGGAGGAATGCTGCCTATGACCCCAAAAACACCACCCCCACCGTCAAACATGGAGGTGGAAACATTATGCTTTGGGGATGTTTTTCTGCTAAGGGGACAGGACAACTTCACTGCATCAAAGGGACGATGGACAGGGCCATGTACCGTCAAATCTTGGGTGAGAACCTCCTACCCTCAGCTAGGGCATTGAAAATGGTTCATGGATGGGTATTGCAGCATGACCCAAAACACACGGCCAAGGCAACAAAGGAGTGGCTCAAGAAGAAGCACATTAAGGTCCTGGAGTGGCCTAGCCAGTCTCCAGACCTTAATCACATAGAAAATCTGTGGAGGGAGCTGAAGGTTCGAGTTGCCAAACATCAGCCTCAACCTTAATGACTTGGAGAAGATCTGCAAAGAGGAGTGGAACAAAATCCCTCCTGAGATGTGTGCAAACCTGGTGGCCAACTACAAGAAACATCTGACCTCTGATTGCCAACAAGGGTTTTGCCACCAAGTACTAAGTCATGTTTTGCAGAGGGGTCAAATACTTATTTCCCTCATTAAAATGCAAATCAATTTTTGACATGCGTTTTTCTGGATTTTTGTTGTTATTCTGTCTCTCACTGTTCAAGTAAACCTACCATTACAATTATAGACTGATCATGTCTTTGTCAGTGGGCAAACGTACAAAATCAGCAGGGGATGAAATACTTTTTTCCCTCACTGTATATATATTTGAGAAATGTCCTTGTTTTCGAAAGAAAAGCAATTTTCTTTTGTCCATTAAAATAACATCAAATTGATCAGAAATACAGTGTAGACATTGTTCATGTTGTAAATGGCTATTGTAGCTGGAAATGGCTGATTTTATTAATGGAATATCTAGATAGGCGTACAAGAGGCCCATTATCAGCAACCATCAGTCCTGTGTTCCAATGGCACGTTGCGTTTGCTAATCCAAGTTTATCATTTTAAAAGGCTAATCATTAGAAAACCCTTTTGCAATTATGTTAGCACAGCTGAAAACGTTGTGCTGATTTTAAAGAAGCAATAAAACTGGCCGCCTTGAGACTAGTTGAGTATCTGGAGCATCAGCAATTGTGGGTTCAATTACAGGCTCAAAATGGCCAGAAACAAATAACTTTCTTGTGAAACTCGTCAGTCTATTCTTGTTCTGAGAAATGAAGGCTATTACATGTGAGAAATTGCCAAGAAACTGAAGATCTCGTACAACGTTGTCTAACCAGAATAGGAAGAGGAGTGGGAGGCCCCGGTGCACAGCTGAGCAAGAGGACAAATACATTAGTGTCTAGTTTAAGAAACAGATGCCTCACAGGTCCTTAACTGGCAGCTTCATTAAATAGTACCTGCAAAACACAAGTCTCAACATCAACAGTGAAGAGGTGGCTCCAGGATGCTGAATTTTAGGCAGAGTTGCAAAGAAAAAGCCATATCTCAGACTGGCCAATAAAAATAAAAGATTAAGACGGGCAGTCTAAGATATGGCTTTTTCTTTGCAACTCTGCCTAGAAGGTCAGCATCCTGGAGCTGCCTCAAATTAGACACTCTAATGTTAACTAATGTTACTGTCCCCACTACAACAAAAACATACTTAAATACATGTAATTTTGTCCTTGAAACATTTAAGTGAAATGCTATAGAATTACCTTAATTCCTATGGAGGACTGCTCCTACTGGGGAGTGCCAATATGGCCGACCGGTGGCTTCAAAACTTCTCAATAGCCAATACATACAGAAGCATTAGCAATCCAGGGTTTATATACATAATTGGCTACGGCCACACAGATACATGTAAACATGGGCATTCTTCATTGTCTGTTTTTGACCATCAACAATTTTACAATTTTCAGACAAGTTGCAGAATGCACAAAGGCCTGCATATTGTGCATTTGATGTTGTCCTTCAACGGATGACTCCCATTTTAAAAACCATTGACTCAATCCATCGTTTTCAGACACATTGTCTGGCCGCAGCCTAAATGTGATGACTCTTCCCTTCCAGCTCCAGAGAGAGATTCGGCCTTTCCCCAAGCTGAAGATCCTCCGGACGGTTGAGATAATAGATGACTTCCGTGCAGAAGACTTTGAGATTGTTGACTACAATCCCCACCCCACCATCAAAATGCAGATGGCAGTTTAAATGGGCTTCAATTAACTAATATATGGGTGGAGGTTGTCCTTTTTAATTGATTTAAATATTCAGGTACAGTGTCTACCTATGCTGCCTTTGTTTATTTTATTTTTTTGAATTTATACATTTAGTTGACTTGTTAATTGGCACAGAGCCTTGGAAACATGTTCCATATTAAACAATTTATTGCAACATAACATAGTAACATCCCTTTTTAGAAAAAGGCTAAATGGAATCAACTCTTTATTTTGTGCAATGATAACCATTGAAATGCCTAGATGTGACAAGATGATTTTCTGTCAAGTAGTCTAACAATGAGGGCTGGCACTTTCTGTGCTCAGTTGACAAATCAAATTTAACTGCCTCTTCTTCCTCAAAGTAGTGATTAGAACCAAAGTTTCAAGAACTTTGTAGTGGGAAATTAAAGGAGTACTTAATGACTTGAAATTGATCATGTGATTGCACCATAGACGGTAATTAATCTTTTATGTCTTTAACAGTGAGTACAAGCGCAGTTTGGTCAGGGTATTTGAGATGCCATCCTTCCTGATGGGCCAGGGGTGCATCTCAATAAGCTAAAGTGGTTTTCATCCTTGCTGATAAGATATTGAGATGTATTCCCCAGCGCTTCGGGGTGAAGTTTCCACTGGATACAGATCTAGGATCAGCTTACACTCCTCCAGTCATTACCTTAATCATTAGTGGGGAAAATGAATAATGGACCCAAGATCCACTTCTAGGGGCAACTTCACCCTACTCCACATTCCTCACTGGTCCAGGAGCTTCTTCCACACTTCCGAGGGTATCAGTGTCTCTGCACTGACGACTCCAACATCTCACAGGAGTAGCCTGGATCCTGATGGAACAATGACCAACAGAAACCATGGGCAAGACTCAAAAGATCCACAGTATTTTAATTCATGACACTCATACCACAACACCAGATCATTGTGATTAAAACGTACCTTGGGAGGCATGTAGTGGGCGTTCTGAATCACAACATGACTTATAAAGTGCTCACGGAGGTGGTCCACAAATTCACACATCCTGAGAAAGATTGGAACAGATTTCATTTCAGCCCCTGACCCCAGGTCAAATAATAATTACACAGTTATAATCACATGGGCTTGAAGTAATTATGGGGGTCATGGTTATATTGTATATTTATACTGTATGTTTTATGTCATTGTGGCTTGAATATTAACCTAAGTGACCGAGTGAAAAGAAGGAAGCCTGTACATAATAAAAAAATATTCCAAAACATGCTGTTTGCAATAAGGGACTAACGTAAAACTGCAAGAAATGTGGCTAAGAAATTCACTTTATGTCCTGAATACAATGCATAATGTTTTGGGGCAAATCCAATACAACACATCGCTAAGTACCACTCTTCATATTTTCAAGCATGGTGGTGGCTACATCATGTTATGGGTATGCTTGTCATCGGCAAGGACTAGGGAGTTTTTTAGGATAAAATAAACGGAATAGAGCTAAACACAGGCAAAATCCTAGAGGAAAACCTGGTGGTCTGCTTTCCAACAGACACTAGGAGACAAATTCATCTTTCAGCAGGACAATAATCTAAAACACAAGGCCAAATATACTCTGAAGTTGCTTAACAAAACGACAATACGGCAGATGATTGGACCCAACAACACACTGGTAAATTTAATCTGTTACGCCATTGGATGCAGTAAACCTCATAATGCAGTTGATTGGACCAATTCATCCTGCAGCCAATTGTCTTCTCTGTTGAAGATGATTGATGCCAACCAGAGGTTGGATGTAGGCGACCTGGGTGACCAGGCTGGCTGAGTACAAACCCATGTGGATCGAAGAGCCCACCTCCCCTGACAACATCCTGAGACATGCTGCCATCTCCAAGGTGATGAGGGAAAGCGAGAAGGATCTGAGGCCTCGGCTCTTTCTGAATTTGTCTTTCCGTGATTCCTCACATCCTATCTCCTCGCCTCCTTCTCAACTGTATTGGAGGAGGAGGTCCAAAGTCCCTCCTCCCGAACCTTCTTCGAAAACAGGTTTTTAGAAAGGTTTGCAAATTTATAAAAAAAAACACTAAAACAAAAATACCTTATTTACATAAGTATTCAGACCCTTTGCTCTGAGACTTGAGTAACTACAATGTTGTTGATCCATCCACAGTCTTCTATCACAGCCATTAAACTCTGTAACTGTTTTAAAGTCAAATCAAATCTAATTTGTCACATGCGCTGAATACAACAGGTGTAGACCTTACCGTGAAATGCTTACTTACAAGCCCTTGGCCTCTTGGTGAAATCCCTGAGCGGTTTCCTTCCTCTCCGGCAACTGTGTTAGGAAGGATGCCATTGGCATCTTGGTGAAATCCCTGAGCGGTTTCCTTCCTCTCCGGCAACTGAGTTAGGAAGGACGCCTATAGCTTTGTAGTGACTGAGTGTATTGATACACCATCCAAAGTGTAATTATTAACTTCACCATGCTCAAAGGGATATTCAATGTCTGCTTTTTTTTAACCCATCTACCAATAGGTGCCCTTATTTGCGAGGCTATGGAAAACCTCCCTGGTCTTTGTGGTTGAATCTGTGTTTGAAATTCACTGCTCGACTGAGAGACCTCAGATAATTATATGTGTGGGGTACAGAGATGAGGTAATCATTCAAAAGAGTGAGTCCATGCAACTTATGTGACTTGTTTTACTCCTGAACTTATTTAAGCTTGCCATAACAAACGGTTTGAATACTTATTGACTCAAGACATTTCAGCTTTTCATTTTTAATTAATTTGTAAACATTTCTAAAAACATAATTCCACTTTGACATTATGGGGTATTGTGAGTAGGGCAGTCACACAAAATCTCAATTTAATGTATTTTAAATTCAAGCTGTTACACAACCAAATTTGGAAAAGGTCAAGGGGTGTGAATACTTTCTGTGTATTAAAGTAGTCAAAAGTTTAGAATTTGGTCCCATATTCCTAGCACGCAATGACATCAAGCTTCTGTCCCCTGTAGCTCAGTTGGTAGAGCATGGCGCTTGCAACACCAGGGTTGTGGGTTCATTTCCCACGGGGGGCCAGTTTGAAAATGTATGCACTCACTAACTGTAAGTCGCTCTGGATAAGAGTGTCTGCTAAATGACTAAAATGTAAACATTTAAAATTAGTTGGATGTTTTTGCAGCTCTGCCTCCACTGATAGCTATGCTATTGATGAAAAATGTACTTTCTATGCCTGTGATATGTGGTTGTCCCACCTAGCTATCTTTAGAGGAATGCACTAACTGTAAATCGCTCTGGATAAGAGCGTCTGCTAAATTACTAAAATGTAACACTGCATTCAGGACCTCAGCATTGGCCAACTGAATGACTCCTTTCTCTGGTCCAATCCGGCACAAGACGGGGAAAAGTGCTGAATACACACACACCTTTCAGTGAAGGTTAGAACCTCAGTTTTGATTGATGAAGGTTGTTTGTGGTGGAGTGGCTGTGTGTAGGCCTTCTTCACATCTGCCCATCGCTGGTGAGGAGACGGTAAAATCCACGGAAATCACTCAATCTCCTCTAGTTTTCCCCACAACTAGGGCTGACAGGGCTTCCACAGCACAGGACAAAAGTGAAAGTTAGTGATTCATTTGAAAACAGTAGACAGTATTATCCTTAGACTAGCAAATAGGTTCACATGGGGACAACTAGCATCTAATCTGCATAGATCTGGAAAATAATCAGGTCAGCCTGCATCTATTCTAGTTGTGCCTATTCATACAAAGCCAGCCTGTATTGCCTTGACACATATTACCACAAAATGACGCTGTGGATAACATGTATTTGAAGGCTACACAAAGCCAACCAACTATAATACTCAAAATGTATTGAAATTGTGAAGTTTATGGATCAAGAATCTTACCAATATCTGTGCCTCTGCCCACAGTAAAAGTCAACCCATATCCTCACATTCCTTGATCAGTTTCGATGACAACATAGGCTACGGAGTAGTCTGGGTTGGTGTGACGAAAGAAGCTAAAGGTATTTTTGCATTGTGTAATAGTTAGGCCTACTGGTGGTACCTTTTATAGAACATTTTACGTGAAGCAAGCGCAGCATCAATCAATAACTTTGTCTGCAACTTCTGCAAGAAATCAGTAATTGCATTGATGCACGTACGATTGCGTCTGAACCATGTTGCTCAAAAGACGTTGGAAATCTGACATCGCTGACCGTCAATTTCATAATATTTTTTGAAAATGTTCTACAAAAAAATGGACAGGGAAGTAGCCACTTGTGTACACTACCAGTCAAAAGTTTTAGAACACCTACTCATTCAAGGGTTTTTCTTTATTTTTACTATTTTCTACATTGTAGAATAATAGTGAAGACATCAAAACTATGAAATAACACAAATGGAATAACGTAGTAACCAAAAAAGTGTTAAACAAATCAAAATATATTTTATATTTGAGATTCTTCAAATAGCCACTCTTTGCCTTGATGACAGCTTTGCACACTCTTGGCATTCTCTCAACCAGCTTCACCTGGAATGCTTTTCCAACAGTCTTGAAGGAGTTCCCACATATGCTGAGCACTTGTTGGCTGCTTTTCCTTCACTCTGCGGTCCGACTCATGCCAAACCATTTTTGGTTGAGGTTGGGGGATTGCGGAGGCCAGGTCATCTGATGCAGCACTCCATCACCTCTCCTTCTTGGTAAAATAGCCCTTACACAGCCTGGAGGTGTGTTGGGTCATTGTCCTGTTGAAAAACAAATTATAGTCCCACTAAGCCCAAACCAGATGTGATGGCGTATCGCTGCAGAATGTTGTGGTAGCCATGCTGGTTAAGTGTGCCTTGAATTCTAAATAAATCACAGACAGTGTCACCAGCAAAGCATCCCCAAACCATAACACCTCCTCCTCCATGCTTTACTGTGGGAAATACACATGCGGAGATCATCCTTTCACCCACACCGCGTCTCACAAAGACACGGCGGTTGGAATCAAAAATCTCAAATTTCGACTCCAGACCGAAGGACACATTTCCACCGGTCTAATGTCCATTGCTCGTGTTTCTTGGCCCAAGCAAGTATCTTCTTCTTATTGGTGTTCTAAAACCTTTGACCGGTAGTGTACTATCGCAATTTCAACAGGGAGTCCCGCCCACTGCAACTGGTGGAAATGCCTCCTCAGATGACTTCAAGCATAGCCGCAGCAATGTAATTGACAAAAAATGAATTCATGCCAAGAATATGAAACATTCTGACAAACAAATGAAAAACATTGTGTCAGCTCTTGATTCGTCCCGGTTGTCTGTATTAAACTAATGAATCTAACGAATTCAACATAGAATACCACCCAAATTAGAATCAGAATTGTTTTTATTTTCCAACTGTACAAATTCCACAGATTAGTATCTAAACCATAATTATTTATCTTTCCCCCAACTTTATAACTTGCGTTCTAGTCTTGGTTGTCTTTTTTATAAAATCAGGATTTTGTACAAAGCCCTTCTTTAAATCCCCAGTTAACCATCTGTCTTCTGTCCATCTGTGTAAGTATGCATAATAAAATATAACACTTAACTGATGAGTTTAAAGAAAAACAAGAGTAAAATGACACCTGTGGATGTGACATGACGCATTAAAAAGACCTCTGAGCTTCCTCCATTTTGCAGTCTTAAAATATAACGGACCGTTCACTGGTTCTGACTACTGTGATGTAGCGATATGATGTAGGTGCACGAAGTAAACAGCATAGTGGGTCAATTTCCGCAACAACTAAGATCGTTGAAGCGTGAAGCGAACCCATGCACAAGCGCAGATACTGTATGTGACATCTCGCTCATCGCTGCCCTGGGCAACGTCATTTCGCTGTGTCTACCTTCAACAACAAACATTTTTTATCTAGGCTGAAACTGTAGCCTGAATTAAATCCATTCACACTATAAAATCACATGTAGTCAACATAAAACAGTTTTCAGGTGCTTTGGCAATATTTTCCCATAAAGGTGAAATGGTTTCCTTTTTGACCATCTTTAGGTCTGAAAATGGAACGCTTGAGGATGAGTCTAATATAGAATCCAAGAGAACATTTGTCAAATGACTTCTCCATGTAAGTGAAAGTGAAGGCAAAGTCCTTTTTAACATAGGTGTGTAGAAGTTATTGCTGGCATGTAACTGCCAAATCAGGTGGTTGCATCCATAAATTCTAATTCTGGTCCTAGATGTACAGTTAGTCCATACTAGCTCCGTTCAATATTGGCTCCTGTTGTGTAGTGCTATGATATGTGCAGAGACAATCTGCGTTGGCATGTAGCTTAGTGATCTACAGGGCTGTGGGCATTTCCAGGTTATAGCTGAATATTCTCCCATCTCACAGTGATACATTGCTCTGGGGTGAAGTTTCCCCTAGTTACCGATCTAGGATCAGCTTCCACACCCGTAATCCTCACCTATAGAATTTGTAGGGAAAATGCTAAACTGACCCAAGATCAAAGTCTAAGAGCAACAAGGTTTAGTCATACTCTGTAGTGATCTTGAAAGAGGTTATGTAACTTGGCATGGCAACAGTCTGTCTTGGACACATAACAGGATGGACTTAGTGTTGTAGAAATGTCCTGTATGTAATTGAAGGACTCGAGGGAGGGCTTCACATGAACCTAGAACCATGTCCATGATATGAATAACAAGACGGACCCACGCAACTGTCCCTGATCTGCGCCACTCAAGTCAATTCAGAAAAACACGAAAGGAGAAAGAAAAGCATTTTCCAGTTGAACTGATGAAATGTACTGAACACAGAACTGAATTATCTCTCTTGAAGTATTCCAACAGTATACAATTGGTCTTTTAACCAATCAGATCAGCTCTGAAAAAGATCTGATGTTTGGAAAAATGATAAGAATTGGGCTGACTGTGTGTAAACGCAGCCTTACAGTACATCCTCTCTCGTCCTCCATTTTGAAGAGCGCTCATTCCGAGGGCCTCTACCTGATGGGCCTCTCTACCTGATGGGCTTTCTCATGTGCCATTTTCATGGTTCAACAGATTTGTTTAAAACAACTACACAGTTGAATGATTGGTCACTTTGAAAAAGAAAATGATCATTGAGGACAAAAAAAACAAAGGAACAAAAATAGTAAAGTCATACAAACTAAGACCTGTATGTAGTACCTGAAATAAAAAATAAACAGAAAATTAGTGTAATAAAAAAAAAGCATATTATTTTTATCATCAGGGATAGCAGTGGTTTGTGCAACTCAATAACCAAGCTTCCAGTTGGCTTTTCTGAAGCACATTATTCATAGAATTTAGTCTCCATGCGTCTGTATCCAAGTCTGCTTCTCCTGGGTGGAGAGATACATTGCACGGTGAAGTGGTCCAGGGCTGCGCTGTGCCTAGGCCTGACTATAGGTTATCCCCAGGCTGGTACTGTGGCTCCGTGGCTGTGAAGTAGTCCTCCAGGAAGGACTGGATGTACTCGAAGGTGGGCCTCTCGTCAGGGTCCTTCTTCCAGCACAGCTTCATCATTTCGTGGAGGGACTCTGGACAGCCCTGGGGGCACGGCATACGGTACCCCCGCTCCACCTGCTCCAGGACCTCCCTGTTCACCATGCCTGGGTGGAGAGAGAATAAGACAGCGAGAGACAGGGGGGGGGGGGGGGGGGGGGGGGGGTCAGTCTGTTTAGTGCCCATTACATTAACAGTGCAGTAAACCGTGCGAGTTAGGTCACAATAAAAATCAAGATTATCCACAACAAAACTAGGTCTGTGATCTAATTCCATTGTCACAGTCACGATATGGCGGTGCATTGTGAAATCGGCCAATCGCTCCACTAGACTCAATTACACCCTCCCCCCAAAAAAAGCATAAATAAAAAGGGGGCCTGAAGGTTAGTGTGTGTGTCAGCGTTTCACAGCACCCGTCAGCCTCTCTCTCCCCAGAGCCCGATCAGTCTGGGACAGATGGTTATAAACAAGAGTGGTGTTCAATCTCCAGATCAGCCCCCACCAGATGGTCTCCTCTAATCTCAGCCAGTGCGTGTGTATGTTTACCCCGTAGAGACAAAAACAGCCATCACGACAGTGTCACCCCCGGCCCACTTCCTAGGACAGTATTAACTAGTCTAGGCTATAAGACTGGTGATGGATCACCTTTTACCAAATGACTTACTTCCTTGTTTACATTGCACTGGCATCTCCCTCTATGACTACTCCTCCTGGTTACACAAGACACCTACTTCCCTAGCTTTGGGGATCACACAATTGACATATCCTAACCAGATAGACAGCCTCACAGACTGCCATTGTTGTTATGGGATTGCATCCCAAATGGCACTGTAATCCCTACATAGCGCCCACTCCCTGTGAGCCCTGGTCAAAAAAAGTGCACTATATAGGACAGGGGTATTCAACTTTTACCCTACGAGGTCCAGAGCCTGCTGTTTTTCTGTTCTACCTGATAAATAATTGTACCCACCTGGTGTCCCAGGTCTAAATGAGTCCCTGATTAGAGGGGGGAAATGGAAAAAAAAACACAGTGGAACTGGCTTCGAGGTCCAGAGTTGAGTTTGAGGGATATAGGGAATAGGGTGCCATGTGGGACGCAAACATTGTTTTGTCTATGTTCTCACCTGGGTAGGGCACCCTGCCCTTGGTGACCAGTTCGGTCAGTAAGATGCCGAAGGACCAGCCGTCTGACTTGATGGTGAAGCGGCCGTACAGGGCAGCTTCAGGAGCCGTCCACTTGATGGGGAACTTGGCCCCTACAAACCAGGAGGGGAAGAGATTAGGGAGGGGCAGAGACAAAGAAGAGAGGGAAGAGAGAGGGAGAGAATGAGAGAAAGAAAGAAGAGAGAGAGACGGAGAGAGACAGAACATGAACTTCCACTAGGGGTCATTAGAGAGCCTAGAGTCGTAATAGAACCACTGAGAATTGACCCATATCAAAGTTCATGCTCCAGTCTGCCATGACAATTACACTATTGACCTATGGAACAAAACAATTCAACATTTTAATTTAACGGACCATACTTGGTTTTCAATGGTTTAAGTCAGATCTGATTGCAAAGGAAACTGATTGAACTAAGATACTACATTGTCAATAAAGACAGATCTTTGTGTGTGAAAAATAGTAGAACTGCAGGGTAAAAAAGTCACATTCCAAAAGGTTTAAGACTAGTAATGAGTGGGAAATGAGTGGGAAAAGGCGTGTTATTGTCAGGGACGCCTGTTTCTCTGCTCAAACCATTGGTCTTAAATAGTTAAGCAGCAGGCTGCTTGAGAGTCAGCGTTTACTCACCTCAACTAATCAGAGTAAATAGGAGCATCTGCTTTGCGCCATTAGCTTAATTTACCAGGGTAGGAAACAACAGGGTTTACTCAACGCCAGTGACCTCACTCTTCCGCCCCCCCCCCATATACATCTGAAACGACTGTGACATTAAGCCCTGTGTCACCGTAATCTCTCCTTCTTCCTGAAGTGTGCACTCGTTGACTACTTCCAAAATGTAAAAGCATTTTGTTGGTGTAGGCATGGGGTAGAGGAAGGTTCCATATATTAATAGGAATAATATACAAGTCATTTCCTTTGATGAAGAAGTAAGGAACACGTCGGGATCTCTCTCTCTCCCTCCCTCTCTCCCTCTCTCCCTCCCTCCCTCTCTCTCTCCCTCCCTCTCTCTCTCCCTCCCTACCTCCCTCCCTCTCTCCCTCTCTCTCTCCCTCCCTCTCTCCCTCTCTCTCCCTCGCCCTCTCTCCCTCTCTCTCTCTCTCGCCCTCCCTCACTCCCTCTCCCCTCCCTCTCTTCATCCACTCTCTGCTCCCTCCCTCTCTCTAGAGACTCTTCCCCTCTCTCTCCTCCTCTCCCTCTCCTCCTCTCCTTCTCACCCCCCTCCCCCTCCACTCCTCTCCCCAACCCACCCCGCCCGCCCTCCCTCCCCCCCCCTCCCTCCCTCTCGTCGACCCTCCTCCTCCCTCTCTCTCTCCCTCCCTCCCTACCTCTCTCCCTCCCTCCCTCCCCTCCCCCTCCCTCCCTCCCTCCCTCCCTCTCTCCCCTCCCTCCCTGAGCAAGGCAGTTCACCCCCAAATAACAACTGCTCCCCGGGCGCCGATGACGTGCATGTCGATTAAGGCAGCCCCCCGCACCGCTCTGATTCAGAGGGCTTGTGTTAAATGCGGAAGACACATTTCGGTCGAATGCATTCAGTTGTGCAACTGACTAGGTTTTCCCTTCCCCTTGCCACCCATACACATCTCGAACAACTGGGATTCTAAGCCCCTCTGTCTCTGTGCTCTACTAACCTTGCCTAGCCGTGTACTCGTTGTCCTCGATCAGCCTGGCCAGACCGAAGTCGGCGATCTTGCACACCAGGTTGTCCCCGACCAGGATGTTAGCGGCGCGCAGGTCCCTGTGGATGTAGTTCATCCTCTCAATGAAGGCCATTCCGTCAGCGATCTGAGAAAACAAGCAGATTCGTTTAACGCTCCGTTGCTCAGGTTAATAATTGATGTGATCCACTCTGAGAGCAATGTTTACTAAGAGCCTAGGTTGACTTTTGACTTACCTGTGCTGCCATATCCACCAGCAAGGGAAGCTTGAGGAATTTACCGTCTCCTTCCTTCAGGAAGTCCAGCAAACTTCCTACAAATAAACATCAGCAAAACATGACTGTTACAGTACCAGAGAGAGTGCTGCTAAATGTTGCAACAGCGAAATACTACCGCAGAAATAGTAAGACTGAAGACTTCTTAAATACGCCTTCTTAAATATTCATGATCCTTCCCTTGGTATTGATGAAGCTAGCAGCTTGTGTCTATGTTCGGTACACGGCTCCTAATGACATCTAGTATGCGCCCCAAATGGCACCCCTTTCCCTATATAGTTCACTACTTTTGACCAGAGCCCTATGGGACCCTGGTGATAAAGTAGTACACTATATAGGGAAGGGGGTGCCATTTGGGACGCAACGTCGCCATTTCCTCAGTGTGAGAGGTGGACATTGTTCTCTTAATTGACCCCTAGACCAAGATTAGAATCAAGGGGATACCAACGGGATAAACACACACACACGTTCCTCTGGTGCATTTATACATATGTACACAGGGGTCACTGAGTCCATTTAAAGGGATTAGTCATTAGTGTTCAATCACTAATAATAAAAAAAAACAGGGTGGTGCATTGCAGCTGAGAAAGATGAAAGCTTGCCACAAAACTGCTGCAGTTTTCAATTAAACATCTCTGCTTCGGGCCTTCAAAACCCACATGGGATTCCCAAGGACTTTCAAACTGTAGGGTACGTTAATTAAAAACGGCCATACATTTTAAAAGGAAACTGTCCGGGATACTTCCGATAGGATGACGTGTGTGTTGTGGCGTGATATCTAAAAGTAAAGATTTCAAACATCTCATCAATTCAGCGCCTGAACAACCTTCGGCGATGTGCAACAACTAACGTCAAAATCTCTGGCATGTGGCCAATGTTCTCTTCTTTTATAAAATACCAAGTTCTCCAACTCCATCACACACTTATAACAATATCCAGCTGAGCCAGGCAGCTAATCACCTCCCCCAGGCATGTGTGTGTACGGACCCTTCTGGAGAGAGGCTCCAGCATTAATGTTGTAATTACACATCTAATCAGACTTGATTAATCTACATGTCAACATCATGCTGCCAGCCACATACGTCACCGCATCTGGACTGGAGAAGTAGAGGCTGTGTTTATCTGTGTTTGTAGAGTATGTACAGTTCATTCGGAAAGTATTCAGACTCCTTCACCTTTTCACATTTTGTTACGTTGCAGCCTTATTCTAAAATTGATTACGTTGTTTTTTTCTTCTCCTCATCAATCTACACACAATACTCCATAATGACAAAGCAAAAACAAGTTTTTTGAAATGTTTGCAATAAAAAAAGTATCACATTTACATAAGTATTCAGACCCTTTACTCAGTATTTTGTTGAAGCACTTTTGGCAGCGATTAAGGCCTTGAGTCTTCTTGGGTATGACGCTACAAGCTTGGCACAGCTGTATTTGGGGAGTTTCTCCCATTCTTCTCTGCAGATCCTCTCAAGCTCTGTCAGATTGGATGGGGAGCGTCGCTGCACAGCTATTTTCAGGTCTCTCCAGAGATGTTCGATCGGGTTCAAATCCGGGCTCTGGCTGGGCCACTCAAAAACATTCAGAGACTTGTCCCGAAGCCACTCCTGCATTGTCTTGGCTGTGTGCTTAGGGTCTGAGGTCCTGAGAGCTCTGGAGCAGGTTTTCCTTCGATCCTGACTACTCTCCCAGTCCCTGCCGCTGAAAAACATCCACACAGCATGATGCTGCCACCACCATGCTTCACCGTTGTGATAGTGCCAGGTTTCCTCCAGACTTGACGCTTGACATTCAGGCCGAAGAGATCAATATTGGTTTCATCAGACCAGAGAATCTTGTTTCTCATGGTCTGAGAGTCCTTTAGGTGCCTTTTGGCAAACTCCAAGCGGGCTGTCATGTGCCTTTTACTGAGGAGTGGCTTCCATCTGGCCACTCTACCATAAATGCCTAATTGGTGGAGTGCTGCAGAGATGGTTGTCCTTCTGGAAGGTTCTGCCATCTCCACAGAGGAACTCTAGAGCTCTGTCAGGGTGACCATCGGGTTCTTGGTCACCTCTCTGACCAAGGCCCTTCTCTCCCGATTGCTCAGTTTGGCCGGGCGGCCAGCTCTAGGAAGAGTCTTGGTGGTTCCAAACGTCTTCCATTTAAGAATGATGTAAGGCCACTGTATTCTTGGGGACCAATGCTGCAGAAATGTTTTGGTACCCTTCCCCAGATCTGTGCCTTGACACAATCCTGTTTCGGAGCTCTATGGACAATTCCTTCGACATCATGGCTTGGTTTTTGCTCTGACATGCACTGTCAACTGTGGGACGTTATATTGACAGGTGTGTGCCTTTCCAAATCATGTCCAATCAATTGAATTTACCACAGCTGGACTCCAATCAAGTTGTAGAAACATCAACGATGATCAATGGAAACAGGATGCACCTGAGCTTACATTTCGAGTCTCAGAACAAAGGGTCTGAATAATTATGTAAATAAGGTACTTGCTTTTTTATTTGTAATACATTTGCAATAAAAATAAATATATGTTTTTGCTTTGTCATTATGGGGTATTGTGTGGAAAAACAATGTTATCCATTTTAGAATAAGGCTCTAACGTAACAAAATGTGGAAACATTCAAGGGGTCTGAATACTTTCCAAATGCACTATCTACAGTGCATTCTGAATATATTCAGGCCCCTTTACTTTTTCCACATTTTGTTATGTTACGGCCTTATTCTAAAATGGATGAAATAGTTTTTTCCCCCCCTCATCAATCTACACACAATACCCCATAATGACAAAGCAAAAACAGGTTTTTAGAAAGTCTTGCAAATGTATTAGAAATAAAAAACAGAAATACCTTATTTACGTAAGTATTCAGACCCTTTGCTATGAGACTCGATATTGAGCTCAGGTGCATCCTGTTCCCATTGATCACCCTTGAGATGTTTCTATAACTTGGAGTCCACCTGTAGTAAATTAAATTGATTGGACATGATTTGGAAAGGCCCACACCTGTCTATATAAGGTCCCACAGTTTACAGTGCATGTCAGAGCAAAAACCAAGCCATGAGGTCGAAGGAATTGTCCGTAGAGCTCCGAGACAGGATTATGTCGAGGCAGAGATCTGGGGAAGGGTAGCAAAACAATTATGCATAATTGAAAGTCCCAAAGAACACAGCGGCCTCCATCATTCTTAAATGGAAGAAGTTTGGAACCACCAAGTCTCTTCCTAGAGCTGGCCGGCAGGCCAAACTGAGCAATCGGGGGAGAAGGGCCTTGGTCAGGGAGGTGACCAAGAACTCGATGGTCACTCTGACAGTGCTCCAGAGCTCCTCTGTGGAGATGGGAGAACCTTCCAGAAGGACAACCATCTCTGCAGCACTCCACCAATCAGGCCTTTATGGTAGAGTGGCCAGACAGAAGCCACTCCTCAGTAAAAAGTACATGACAGTCCGCTTGGAGTTTGCCAAAAGGCACCTAAAGGACTCTCAGACCATGAGAAACAAGATTCTCTGGTCTGATGAAACCAAGATTGAACTCTTTGGCCTGAATGCCAAGCATCACGCCTGGAGGAAACCTGACTCCATCCCTATGGTGAAGCATGGTGGTGGCAGCATCATGCTGTGAGGATGTTTTTCAGCGGCAGGGACTGGGAGACTAGTCAGGATTGAGGGAAAGATTAACGGAGCAAAGTACAGAGAGATCCTTGATGAAAACCTGATTCAGAGAGCTCAGGACCTCAGACTGGGGCGAAGGTTCCCCTTCCAACAGGACAACGACCCTAAGCACACACCCAAGACAATGCAAGCATGGCTTTAGGACAAGTCTCTGAATGTCCTTGAGTGGCCCAGCCAGAGCCCGGACTTGAACCCGATCTATCATCTCTGGAGAGACATGAAAATAGCTGTGTAGCGATGCTCCCCATCCAACCTGACAGAGCTTGAGAGGATCTGCAGAGAAGAATGGGAGAAACTCCCTAAATACAGGTGTTCCAAGCTTGTAGCGTCATACCCAAGAAGACGCGAGGCTGTAATTGCTGCCAAAGGTGCTTCAACAAAGTACTGAGTAAAGAGTATGAACACTTACATAAATGTTATATTTCAGTTTTTATTTTTCAATACATTGTTTATTTTTTTTTTGAAAAACCTGTTTTTGCTTTGTCATTATGGGGTATTGTGTGTAGATTGATTATATTTTTTTTTTTTTTAATATACATTTTAGAATATGGCTGTAATGTAACAAATGTGGAAAAAGTCAAGGGGTCTGAATATTTTCAGAACGCACTGTATCTATACACACACACATACACACCTTTGGCCATGTACTCGGTGACGATGTAGATGGGTTCCTCAGACACCACGGCGTAGAGGGGCACCAGTTTGTCGTGCCTCAGCTTCTTCATGATCTGGGCCTCCTGGAGGAAGGCCTCGGGGGACATGGTGCCTGGCTTCAGGGTCTTAATGGCCACCTTGGTGGTGCCGTTCCACGTGCCTGAATAGAATTACAGAATTAAAATGAGCCGAGTCATTATGCTGTCGCTTATTGGAGAAGCAAGACAATGGTGTAAACATGAGTAAACCAATGGTAGTTTTCAGCACAGTACACATTCTGTCTGTGTCCCAAATGACACCATATTCTCTACAGCCCGGTCAAAAGTAGTGCACTACATAGGAAATAGGGTGCCATTTGGGATGCAGCATCTGACATAATACAGTACGGGTGTATTTGGGTACATAAACACATGTAGTTATGAGATGTGGCTGGATGGATGGACTTGTGTCTCGCTCTGAAAGAGAGAATGCTACTTCCTCTGGAGATAAAGATAAACGGAGGAAGCATCTGAAGGAAGTGAAAGATTCCCTGGCCTGGGATAAAAATAGCTGCTATAAATGTCTCATATTCCCTGTCGGTCTTGTCTGTCCAGACCATCCAGTGTGTGTGTGTGTGGGCGCGCATACTTGTTCTTTGTGTGTGTGTGCGCCTGTCTGTGTCTAAACAGTATTTTGTCTTACCCATCCAGACCTCTCCGAAGCAGCCCTGGCCCAGTTTGAGCTCCAGGCGGAGGGACTCCCGGGGGATCTCCCAGGCATCCTTGGCCAGTCCCTGGGTCTGAGGCTTCACCGTGGGGCACACCGTGGTCAGCCGGTAGCACAGACCGTCTGCATGCTCTGCGTGGGGCGGATGGGCACAAACAAACATGTAGGGATTCTTATGAATCCCAGCAGTAGAGTACGAGGGAAACCCAACAAAGCATAAAAAAAGGGGACATTTCACCCAACACTTCAAGTTTGCCCGTCAGACATGCGATACGGCTGAATTTAGACATGCCTATAATAACAGAGCTAAAACATGAATGAGAATTGGATGAATTAACACGGCTGGGACCTCTTGCTTTTATAGTGCACCAGAGAGAGGTTGTCTTTGCCCCAAATGGCACCCTGTTCCCTATATGGTGCAATGCTTTTCTTTATGTAGGGAGCAGGGTGCCATTTGGGACGCAGGCGTAAAGTGGGCACTCCCAGAGAGCTTTAACCTCTCTCCTTCAGCTGAGAGGGAGGCACTTAGGGAAGGTCTTTATTAAATATTCAATCTGAGAGCCATTCATCTAGCTGGGGAAATCACAGGGTCAATTACAGGTAAGCCTGCTACTACGGAAGGACAGATGTGAGAGAGAGAGAGACCGCAGTGAATGAGGGTGAATTTTAGATCAGGAACTGCGCTTGGAGAAGGGAGGGAAGCTGTGAATAAGAAAGTTACTTGGGAGCTACACTGGGGTGTTGGGAAAACAGTAGGTTTTTAACTGCGACACTGGACGCGTAACCTTTTGCAGCGTGAACAGAATGTGAGCCACTTTATCAAGTGTTCTCTTGCGTGAGCTACACGTCAAACTCTTGAAAATAGAACCAGTGTCATTTTACGCTGAGCAGTGCAAGCCTCCCGCGGAGCCGTGCTGCTTAGGCCCAGGTTTCATTGAAATGAATAGGAGCGTCTCACGCTCAGCAAGGTTATGTTTCCAGTGTAGCAAGTCTGTTAGAGAGTGAGTTTGAGAGAGAAAGTGAGTGTTAGAGATCGAGAGACCATTAAAAAAAGAGGTAGAAGACATACCTGTGTAGTGTTTGACCAGTTTCTGCAGCGTGTCAAACTGGGCGCGCGTGGTGATGTAGTAACCCCCGTTGTCAAGTTTGCGGATCTTATAGTGTTTCACATTGTCACCTTTGGCATCGTCCCAGTCTCGTATGGACAGGGAGTAAGCACCTGGAGGAGACAATGACCAGATTCTTCGTCCATCCAAGCAACAGTATTAAGATCTAGGCTTTATTCATGTAAATGTGAGTGTCACTGGTTATTTCTCAAATGACTCCATATTCCCCATTATAGTGCACTACTTTGTCTTAGAGCACCATATGAGCTCAGGGCCAGTATTCACAAAGCCTGTCAGAGTAGGAGTGCTGACCTAGGATCAGTTCCCACTTGTCCATGTAGTCTTTTTCAGTGTGATCTTAAATCAGCAGTCATACTCAGATGCTTGCAACATGCAGACCCCGGTCAAAACAAAAGTAGTGCACTACATGAGGAATAGAGTGTTACTTGAGACGCAGGCCGTGCACGTTTTCCCGCTAATCGTCTTCACCTTTAGTAGTTTCACTTTCTCGCACCAGGAAGGTGCCTCGGTTGTTGCCTGGATTCAACAGCAGCCTCTCAGCATCTTTACGTCCCATTTTACCAAAGTACCACCTGTGGAAGGACACAGAAATAGAATGAGTAGAGCCTTTGTAAAATGTTGCAGTACAGCAGTGTTTCCCAAATCTGTCCTTGGGAATCCTCAGCCGCTCCAAGTATTTGAAGAGCATTTGACGTGTTCCAGAACTAGCACACCATTCTATTTCTATGGAAGGACACACATTTACATCAATACCTGCTTATGTTATTATGAACTTTACTTGAATCAATACTAGTAGGGATCATTTCCATGTTCGGAAAAATCAAACTTCAAAATACACAGTGAGAGGAAATACAGCATTTTTTCAGTCCATCAGGGGTCAATCTAACAAACAGGATGATATTAAATGTCCTTGCTAAACAATCATAAACCTCTAGGCTCATACATGAGATGGTGGCTGAAACCACCTGTGGCCATATGTATGTGTAGGGCTCTACGCTGACAGAGTACATGTGCTCCTAAGTTGAAAAATGTAGGGACACAAATAAATTTAAGAGCACAATTAAAGTATTTGAGGAAGAGTTTTTATGATACGAAATTAATAAAAGTTCATAAATAAAACAGTTTTGGGAGTGTGCAAGAACAATGTCCCCTCAAATATTTGAGTCACTTACGTGAGACAAAAATGTTCAGCTGCCCCTTTAAGGGCGGCAGGTTGGCGTGGTAACGGGGCACTCCCATGCAGGCTCGCATGTCGGTCTGTGAGGTCTCTTCACTAGCAGTTGAGCAAGCGCAAACTAAAATTGAAAAACAACCTAGCGTGTGAACAAAACGATGTAGCCTAAATAGCCAAGAAACACAAGGACAAAGTCGCACTTTAGTAGATTTCGATGCCTGTGCGCTTCAAAAATGAATCTTTCAGCGCTTCACTCACAGTGCATACAACCCCCCAGAAACACCAGCCAGGCTGCACGAGGTGGGATAGCTATATGTGATTTGTACCAGGCTCCACGAGGAGGCTAAATGGGGCTTAGGCACCTCAGTTCAAACTTGTGCCCCTCAGTTTTATTTCAATGTCCCTATATAAAAATAGCAAAAAAGTTCAAATGATTGACTGACAGGTTGTCGGGAAAATAATCTGTATCTCCGCTGCGCTGTGTCAGCACAATGGACAGAGCGTGCTGCGGTGTGTAGGGGGGCTATGAAAAGCCACTGGGGCGGTTAAGTACGATTCCTTTGGGTTTCAATATGCAGCAAGGGAGGTCTGCAAATCTCTAGATGTTATGTTTGGGTTGGCTTTAATCCGATGTATTATTGTTCTTGTGGCTCTTGGGGATATTTTGGAAGGGCATCCACTTCTAGGCCGAGTTGCTGTCATGTTAAATGCTCTCCATTTGTAAATGATTTGCCTCACAGTGGACTGATTGAGCTCAAATCTTTGAGATGATTTGATAGCCTTCCCCAGACTTATGTGTTCTCACTACCCTCATCCTGATGTCCTCTGAGATCTCATTTCCTCTCGGCATGGTGTGCTTTGCATTCACCTGGATGGGTAACACCAAACTGACCAGGTTTATCTCTATTTATCAGAGTCCCCCCAAACTCTTTCCTAACGATCTCTCCTTTGATTGGTTCATTTGGTAGCTACTTATTTACCCATCTGATTCTACTTACCTACTTGATTTAACCAATGCAACTTGGGGTTCACTTATTTTTGCACCTGCACTAATTCATTTTTAATTTAGTTTTTTTTACTACACACATGATTTCCTCTACACCAACATATGGTATTGGTAAATATAAACCTGTTTTGTCAGATCAAAAATACTGGTTGTGTTTAAATTAACATTTCTATAATTGCACAAGGGGTTCACATACTTTCATGGTAGAGGTGCAAATATCACCGTCATCTTAAAATAAATCCAACACTCATTTGCACCTCTACCTGCCAGCCTCCTGCTGAATCTTTCTCCTTGTGACTGCTAGAAGGCCCCTATTTTACACTGATACAGCGCAGCGGAGATAGGCTACAGATTTCGCGACAACTGGTCACTTCAAAAGCACTCAATGATCTAGGAATCTCTGCATTTGAACTTCGTTTATTGTGGTATAGCGTGATAAGCATAATTCAATATAATTCCAATGCAAGAAACCCCAAAAATGTAGCCCCCACGCCAATTTCAACTGCCCCCTTAGTCACTTTATCCTGGCGCCGGATCTGACGGGATTTGTAGTTCTTTGTGTGATTAGCTACCATCTGTAGCTAGGTTTGATTCCAATTGACCCTTTGCTAAGCCCCATAATTGTGGGCAACCAATCGCAACGCTCCAATGGATAGCAACCAGTATTGCCAACATAGCAACTTTGGCGCTAGATTTAGCCAGTTTTCAGACCCCTCCCCAGCAACTTCTTGGCAAAAGAGTATAGCGACAAATTTAGCTACTTTTTAAGGCTGTCCCAGCAACTTTCCTGTTTGTGTGTGACCACTTTTGGATCACTATGAATAAGATCACCTGGACAGGTGGAACATGATCCTAGAACAGCACTCCTACTCTGAGACGCTTGATACATATGGCCCCAGAAGAACAGAAGAAGCTCTGAGATATTCTAGTGAACAGGCCTCCAGTGAGAGCTATGTGATATTATGGTCACGCTGCAGTGATTAGGCTAGCTCTATTGCTGTTGTAGCCTTGGATGGTCTTAATCAGGTTAGGTTAGGAGTGACAAGGGCCTTACTCTTCAGCCTGGATCGAGTCAGCTGGTGCCACATAGTTACTGGGAATGTACCCCTTCTTCCCTGTGTTGATGGAGCGTGCCTCCCACCAGTCCCCTTCTCTGTAGGGGGAGAATCAGATACAGACAGAGAGAGAGAGAATCATCCAGAGATATATATATATATATATATATATATCACTACTATGTCTGTACAATGGTAGTCTGGTTATGAAAGGGACTTGTAAGCTTGCTTTATCTGTGTCTTGGCAGTGAGCTTGTACATGCTCACTTTTACGCATGGATTCTATTGCTATATTACTAAGGCATGTTGCAATGTATTACATTTGAATTGAACAAAGTCAACCATGGCTACATTATAGAGCAGAAAGTTATATATAACCTAAGGCACCATCTGTGTTAAAGGTTTTGTTAAATAAATCAAATGAAAGTCTCCAGCGATCTGGGTGGAAAAACAGGATCATGGGGGAAAACATTAATCTAACCCATGTAGGAATAACACATTATACAGAACAGGTAGTGTTCTTAAAGATATCCTGTCATCATTATACCACTACTCTATGGGAATAAGCTCCTGATCATGATAAATTATGTTCTCAGAGGGAGGGTGCGTCCCAAATGTCATTCTTTCCCTATATAGTGCACTACTTTTGACCAGGGCCCATGGGGACTCACGTGTTATTGATGATCTGGAAGCGGTCCCCTTTTTTGAACGACAGGTCGTCTGAGGTTCTGGCTTCATAGTCGTACAAGGCCACAAAGAACGTAACCCCACCTGAATACACACAAAGAAAACATTAAATAAAACATTCAAGGTAAAAGTGAAATTCATGACAGTATGTTCATTTAAGTGACTCAAAAATAGTTTTGTTGACTAACTTGCAGGTGGAGAACCAGTTAGAATATGAAGGCATTCAGAGCTACCAATAGCCTACTGAAGATACAAAGACTTTCTATAAATACCAGCTGACCTTTGTGCCAAGATTGGTACTGTCAACATTCAGCGACATTGACTCTGCCGCAAAGCTGAGCAGGTACATTGAAATGACAGGAGACCAAGGGACCAATGGAAAATGAGTCAGAGAAAGTAGACCTGTAGTGGCGGTTCTGTTTCCATAGTGCCCATGACTGACTGGTGTCTGTGGTGTGACTGTCGTGAGAGGCGAGTAGCATCTGTGTTCTCTAGCCTGCACACTCCCTATCGATCTTTCACTACCGGTAATTCTACTCTATAGAAATGTCCAGTGTATAGATCAGAAATAATATCAAAATGATGTCATGTTGGTCCAGAAACGGACCGGCCATAGTGCAGTTTGGGCGAATGCCAGATGGGATGCCCAGTGGGTTGGTCTTTTATGTGTGAAAAAATGATCACTATGGCTAATAATGGGAGCCTCAATGGGGGGAAAAAATGGGGAGATGTGTTAGAAATGCCCAGGCTGATTTCTGCTCCTAGTTCGTCCCTGTGTATGTCATACTGTTGGCAGTGGGATGGGTACTGTTCTGACAAGAAGTCTAAATCAGTTGGGGAGCGGATTTAACTGTCCGGCAAGGTTGTTGTTTGTTTAGCGTCGTAGGGGAAATATGCTTACGTCAGCTCGGTGCAAAGCTAACATCATTACAAGACATGAATAATAACATAGCACAGGTCATCTCATCTCGCAGCTGTGTAATGTCAATACAGAATACACTGTAAACCATTCTGCTTACTGGGCAGAGAGAGACAGGCAGGTCGGCAGATTGTGCGAATAATAGGGCTGTGACGATACCAGTATCATTCTATTTTTTCCATGTGAAAAATGAAAAAGGAACAGAGCAGACCAAACTCTTTGGTCCTTTAAAAACCTGCTGTATGTTAAATATTGTGTGCTATAGCTTGGAAAATAAATACATGTGACTCTGGATGACAACAAAATGATGTTTGTTTCCAACTTGTTTTCCTAAAGAAGTTAAATCTCTTCGTGTTTCGTTTCCTTGCCAAGATACTAACGAGTATTGCGATATTGGTATCATCCCGGCCCTAGCGGATAACCATCTATGGTTTCGTCCCAAATGGCAGCCTATCACCTATATAGTGCCCTTCGGGCTCTGCTCAAAAGTAGTGCACTACGTAGGGCAGTGTTTCCCAACTCCGGTCCTCAAGCAACCAAAACAGTACATATTTTTGTTGTGGCCCCGGACAAGCACACCTGTTTCTACTTGTCAACTAGTCATCAAGCACTTGACAAGTTGAATCAGGTGTTTTTGGGAAACACTGATGTAAGGAATAGGGTGCCATTTGGGACACACCCTATGACACACCTCATGGGGAGCTCATATTCATCGTACCCACCGCTGAACAACCAAGCTGCCAAAACCAATCCCATTATCTGGTCCAGGAACTCAATAACGTGCCATGTAGCCCCCCCCCCCCCCCCCCCCCCCCCCCCCCCCTACTCCTGAGAGCAGATAATCCAACAAAGAGGGGGATTACAAACCTAATCCCACCTAAACAGGAGAGCTCAATCTCATCTCACTGCTCTTTGGGACCTTATCAGATTGGTCAGTCTCCCTGCCACCTTTCAAATCAATCGTTGTTGATTTGTTGCTAATGGCACCTATGGACAACGTGATTGAAGGACATTTTAAGGCATCGGCATGCTTCCCAGCCGAAACAGTTCGGTACAGTTCGTGCATATATTATGACTACATTTTGTGACGTTTTTGTTCGTTTTGGACTTCAGTGAGGGTTTTTTCGGCTGTTCGGGCACACAAATTCTTTCCTGGAGGCAAGCCGAAGTCTACGCCCCTTCGTCAGTGATTGGTCAACAGTAGGGATTATTCAATAAAGTCTTTGTTGTCATTCAACGAGAACTCATTTTCATGCACATTTGCTCATTGAAAAATACTGCACCAAACAGCTTAGTTCGATGTAAAAGATCTCTTCGGCAAAAACGTCAAAATTAATGACAGATTTCTTGAGTTATCTTAGATTAATTCTGACTACTTTGAGGAAGTGTATACTGGCTATGGCATCTCAAAATGGACAAACAGTACTATTGCCGCTTTTTTCTAGTTTTTCAAGCGAAGGTCTTAAGGGAGTATGCCAGAACACTCGTTCGGTTCGGCTAGCCGAGTTCAGCTAGGCGCCAGCCGAACTGAAGCATGCTGACGCCTTAAGAGGGAGATGATGAGAGACCACTGGATTTTAATCGTCTGAAACGCAATGGCAGGTGGACTTTGGAGTGACTCGATATTGAGTTGTCATATCAGCAGCTATTCTGTTGTGGGGAATAAGTATATGGGTCCTTGTGAAGGAACTATAGATGTCTCAAATGTCAAACTTTAGAGTACTTATATAGTATAGATGCGGTAAAGAGGTTAATGGAACTAGACCAAAACAATGGAAATGCCATGGAAATGTGCAGACATTTAGGCTATTGTTTATATGTGTATTTCACACTATGTTCAGATAAAACCCGGAGTATAATGCTTGTATGGATGTCAACCCCAATACAGATTTGTTGAATGTGTGCCAATCCAGCGTCCTTCTTTTATCCCCCACGGTCTGCTCTATTGTAGTTACGATAGAAAGGCATACAGGTACGTAAGGAAATCCACACTTGAAATCTACATGCACACAAATGCATCGCACAAATCATCCATTGACGTCAACGTGTGATTTGCACAAACCTTTTATGTAGGCTATGCTTGAAGATTTCAAGTTAGGATTATGTGGATAATATAGGCTCACCTGAGACGGCACCGGGGAATGTGCCGAGCAGAGCGCCGGAGAAGGAGGTGGAAGCCCCTCCGAAGGGGGTCATGATGGAGGAGGCTCCTCCAAAGGGGGTGATAGCGTGGGGGTTGAAACCTGCAGCGGGCCCCGTGGAGGACGACTGGTTCTGCTGCAGCTGTGTGGGGTCGGGCCCGTAGTGGCCCACGTGGGGGCCGATGACATCTGAGACCGGAGCATTATCCGGTCTGTACTTCATGGTGGGCCCCTTGTCCTCTTTACTCTTGATGCAGCCCATGGTCACGTCTGGAGAGAAACAAACAAAGTTAGAGCTTAGTTTCAGGACTGGACAAAAAACAAATCTACAGGACAGTACAGGATTGAATATTCACTCCTGTGGCAGTCACCCTTGGCATAGATGTGATAGGCTGAGTGTGCAGAGGTGGCACTTCATCAGTTGAAACAATGATAAAAGCAAGAGGTGGGGAAAAAAAAGCTAAAAGAGCTTACAAATGATTAAGAATTACAGCATATGGACTGGTTAGAACGATTCCATTAACAACGAGATGTCGACTACCACTGTAGCCACAACCTAGACGACTGTACATCTATAAAATTAACATTTGTAAACCTTTTTCTTTGTCAAAAACTTTATGTTGTCATTTTATTTTATGGCTAAAGCCATGAGTCCAGATGCTGTATATCTAGGACAAAAATCCAAAATCTGATCTGAAATTATTTGGTTGTAGAGCGTCATACACATACGACAGAACTAAGTCTAGTGTATCAATGCAAAGTGCATAAATCATGTTATATTGATTGACGGTCTAAAATTTTTATAAGGGGGTTTAGGGCTGTTGTGTTGTTTATCTGTATGACTTTAGGAGATTATAACATGTTTATTACATGAATATCCAACTGACAGCATCTGAAAAGCCATGCTGATGCATATAGTAAGATGTGAAATGCATGTTTGTTTTCATTTGCTGCTTTTTTGTGGGTCAAACCTCACAATATTGGTTGCAACACATGGTCACCAGCCATTAAAAACTCAATGTACATTAAGCTATGTCCCAATTCTCCACCCTTCTCCCGAAGTGTGCACTTGCACACTCCCCATCATGGATTTAAAAGGATAGGATTGGTGTAAGCATTGGCAGGAGGGAGTTTCCACCTTTGCTCAATCCATGCAAGAAAGTGTGCAACTAGGCTACATATTTCTGGAGAAGGGTGAAGAATCGGCACGCAAGCCTTAATCACCAGCGACTCTTATGTCAAACCATATGTCCAAAAAGCAACAACACTTTTATACTGGCATGTTCACCATCTGCATTGTTTTCATTCTTCCCTCCCAACAGAATTGGCCAGTGTTACGTTGAGGTATTCCTTTGTGAAGAGAAGGCCATGTAAATATGGTTGCCATCAGACACGCTCCTATAGCAGGCTTCAGTCAGGGGATTTTTTGACTGATCTGGAAACAGTTGTCCTAGTCAGAGGGTTACAGCCAGGATTCTCAATCGTTTTCTTTACCAGGGGGGTGGTTAGACTTCTATGAAATTGTGAGCCTTCTTCAAAATCTCAAGCTCGCTTGCTCGGCTTGTTTGTAACTACAAATGGCTGTCAAGGAGACTAGGGGCTGGCAAACAAGGTATGATGAATTCCTAACTTTGGAGGAGAACTTCGATTTACATTTGAGAACTGACTAAAATCAGTTTGAACTGATTATCTGAGGGACCTGTCAGTCACCAACATCTCAGGGACTTATAGGGACACATTTTTCCAAAAATGTCCTGCTCATTTCCTCCTGATCACAGCAATATCCCAACTGAACTTTCTGGAAAACCTGGGAATTTTGGGAAAGTTACCAGAACTTTGCATCCCTATGATTGTGAAACACTGGTCTAGAAGACAGAGAGAAAGGGAAAGGCAGAAGTTCACAGAGTTTGTCAGCTGCCAAGTAAACCAACGAAAACGAGGGCAAACCACAAGAGGCCTTCACAAGAAATCAGGGCACTTTGCTCAAATAAAATTGTACACTGAATACATTTCATGCTATTACATTTTACATTTTAGTCATTTAGCAGACACTCTTATCCAGAGCGACTTACAGTTAGTGAGTGCATACATTATTATAATTTTCTTTCCTCATATTCCCCTTCATCTACACTGACTGAAGTGGATTTAACAAGTGACATCAATAAGGGATCATAGCATTCACCTGGTCAGTCTGTCATGAAAAGAGCAGGTGTTCTTAATGTTTTGTATACTCAGTGTATGACTGTATATGACTAAATGTGACGTAAAGGTTCGAATTGCGTGTCGATAGTTCTCTATAAAGCCGATTTAAGAGTGGTCAGTGGTAGCTGATAGGCCTACACTAAGTCAAATGAGATTTTAAAAGAAATGAAAAGGAAGATAGGGTCCATATAAATCTAATCTCAGATGTTCAGATCGGAGGCCAAAACATTGTCAGCCACATGAGTATGGAACCAGTCCTCCCTTTAAGGGAGTCTAACCGACCCTCCCCTTTAACTTGAGATGGTATGCTGGTCTCCTGGAGGGTAGAGCGGTTGGGTTGGTTGACTGTGGGGTTTGAAGTTCACCATCAGAATGAAGTGGCCCAGAGACTCAGGGTCAGCGCTTAATTTGCCACACCAAAAAGCACAGTTCCAGGCCTACATCCCAGTCATATAGCTGCAGCCTGCATCCTTGCTTTTACAACATCTCCATAAAACACAGACCATCTGTTCTAGAATTTTCTTCTCAACAAAACACAGTTAACCATTCGCCAACTCCGCCTTTACATCACATTTAGTCATATACAGTCATGCACTGAGTATACAAAACATTAAGAACACCTGCTCTTTTCATGACAGACTGACCAGGTGAATCCAGGTGAAATCTATGATCCCTTATTGATGTCACTTGTTAAATCCACTTCAGTCAGTGTAGATGAAGGGGAGGAGACAGGTTAAAGAAGGATTTTTAAGTATTGAGACAATTGTGACATGGATTGCGTATGAGAAAGAAAGAAAGAAAGAAAGAAAGAGAGAGAGAGAGAAGCCAGAAAGAGAAATAGAGAGAGAAGCCAGAGAGAGAGAGAGAGAGAGAATCCAGAGAGAGAGAAGCCAGAGAGAGAGAGAGAGAAGCCATAGAGAGAGAGAGAAGCCAGTGAGAGAGAGAGAGAGAGAGAGAGAGAGAGAGAGAGAGAGAAGCCAGAGAGAGAGAGAGAAGCCAGAGAGAGAGAGAGAAGCCAGAGAGAGAGAGAGAAGCCAGAGAGAGAGAGAGAGAAGCCAGAGAGAGAGAGAGAGAGAGAGAGAGAGAGAGAGAGAGAGAGAAGCCAGAGAGAGAGAGAAGCCAGAGAGAGAGAAGCCAGTGAGAGAGAGAAGCCAGTGAGAGAGAGAAGCCAGTGAGAGAGAGTCCCCAGACCAAATGCATGCAGGATTATAAAGAGGGAAGCTTTTCCCTGGCTGTGAGGATGACGACAGAAACCAAAACAGCCCACTGCCATATATGTACAGACCTGGCTGGTGGTGGTGTATGTGTGTGGGTTGACAAAGGGTGGGGGATGGAACTATCTGAAGAACAAATGAGTGCATGAGGGCTTAAATCATAACCCAACTACTTGCTTAGCCTTTCTTCTTCATTGTCCACTACATGACTATCATTGTGACAACTCTACAGGCCAAAGTTCAATATGCTCCTTTCTCCAACAGTCCACCTGTCTGTGTAGATATTCCATTGCAGTGATCCAATAACATTAGTCCTCCAGAAGGATCCCATCCTCCCAGTGATCTGACTGCTTCTGTCCCTGAGAATTATATATTTTTCAGGGGGAGCTAACAGACACTCTTGGCTGTGAAGACATGATCTGGGGTGGCTGGGCAGGCTTTGGCTGACAGCCTTAATCAGCTCACAGCTAACCCGCTATCAGTACAGGCCACAGTTAAAGCAGCCTGCACACATAATGACATGTCCAAAGCCCACATGCTTTGTACTCTTAGATAGGAATGCGTTGCAATGTCATCTACGCTACATCGATCACAGTGTAGACTATGCTGACAATAGTTCTCTCTAAATGTTAGGTGCTTCTCATGTTTCCCCATGTTTACTTACAGTACATGTACTTGCATGTACTTGCCTTCAAGATTATTGGTCTAGAGTTGAATGATCTAGGCCTACATCTCCAGAAATATGTTATTTTAGTATCTTGACTTGGTATGACAGATTTTATTGGGTTTGACTGAGATTACAGGAATAGTCAAGATGCAACATAAAACATGACGAACCATGGAGATTGTTACGGTTATAATTACGTAATCTCTCGTGGACAGACTACTGAAACATTAGGGCTGGGCGGTATACCATATTTTACGATATACCAGTGTTGATGCAGGGACTGGTTTGGGTGTTTAGTTTACTTTCTATAACAGTATTTGAATGTTTGGTTTGTTAAACATGATAAGCCGTGTGTAACGTCCATTTTTATAGTTTACTTGGCTACTTGAGTCATCTCTCTCCATGCCGCTTTCCACACAGACCTGGCCCCGCCTCCTGTAACTCAAGGAGCACATTTGTTGTTCCTCGACCACGAGACACTTGCGTTCAGTCTGCATGGTCAATGCAGCACATGCAACAATGTTGATGACAATGATGCTGTTTTCACTTTGCTTCTTAATATAAATCCACTAGCATTCTAAATTTACTCTATTAGTTTGTTTCTTATATCTGCAAACTGCCAGTTTGTCTTTTCTTAGCAGCTAGCTAGCTAATAGATGTACTGAGTCAGAGCAAACGTAATTAGCTATACAGCCTAATAATACCAGTGATGGTGTAGAACTAAATCAGCATGTTGTTTGTGCAACAGTATCTTCTAAATCAAAGAGGAATACGCAAAGCATGAATATGTTTGCTACATGAAGTAGCTAATAAAAAACATTCAATGTAGCCAAAGATTATTGGGTCTCATAAGAAACACTTATCAGCATTTTGGTTCCTACCCTGTCACAATAACTCTTCCCTGGCATTTTTATTCGTCGTCATGTCAAACAACACTGTATTCAAAGTGCCCACTATTATATTCTAACTATAGAATTAGAATAATTATTCTATTTCCATGATTCCATCAGTTCACCCAAGTGTTTTGCTCTAAAATTGCAAGTCAAATCGCAACATTTGGTTAAAAATAAGTCCTAGATTGTTTGCCCATATCGTGCAGCCCTACATGGCAGTGTGGGAATGATCTCAAATGACTGCAGGAAATGCCGAAATTTATGAAAATGCTGGGAATTAGATTGA